AGAACAGATGTGGGACTTGGAAAAAACTGTTCGATATTTACACTGTAAAAACCCATGTCAAAAACCAGCACCCTGTACCTGCTTATTTTAAGCAGGCTAACTGGGTGCTAAATTTTAGCACCCTTTCCGAAAAATAGCTCCCTGTGCCGGCTTATTTTAAGCACCCTAAATGATTGCAGCCATTTAGGGTGCTTAAAATAAGCCGGCACAGGGAGCTATTTTTCGAAAATGGTGCTAAAATTTAGTACCTATTTAGCCTGCTTAAAATAAGCAGGTATAGGGTGCTGGTTTTTGACATGGGTGCTAAACTTTTTTTACAGTGTATTTGAATTTCAAATGACCTTTTCCCTCGATAGTTATTCAAATCACAATAAAAAACCAATATCATATTGCTTGGCAAATTTTAGAAAACAACAGTTCATTCGTAAGCCATATGAAACAAGTGACAAACAATTTTGTTTTCAATTATTTCATGTGACAATTGTTTCATGTGACAAGGAATTGTTTTCAATTGTTTCATGTGACAAACATGAAACAATGTTGTATGTTTTACGGCCCTGGTGGCGCAGTTGGTAAGGCGTCGGCCCGCGGTGCGGGTGGCTCTGGGTTCGATCCCCGGTGCCGCCCGTTCCGCGGGCGTCGTCCCCAGCTGTGTCACCAGGAGTGGGGTGGGCTCCCACATTAGCCGTAGCCCAGGGGGGAGGGGTATGTAGGTTGGAGGAGCCTTCCTGTAAATGGGCGTATCGGCCCGTTGGAAGGATGACGAAAAAAAAACAATTGCTGTCAATTGTTTCATGTGGCTTGCGATTGAACTGTTGTTCGAAATTTTGCCAAATAATATAGATAATAATTTCTTTTTATTGTAATTTTAATCAACTATCAAGGGAAAATTCATTTGAAATTCAAACTATATATTATTTTTTGATTTTGTCAGGAGGTGTCATAAGTCATCAGTCAGTTTGTATCAGTAGGTGTCAGTAGGTGTCATTGTGCGGCTTAGTTCGCTAGCTGCTGAGGGCTATCCAGCGAGAGTAATTCACATAAATGTAGCTATGACGTCAATAGTATCAACATGCTATATGCTGCCGCACAGGTGGCAGATACTGAAAGTAATTTATTACCTGTAGGTAGGTACATGAGCTGCGAATACGTGCAAAATCTTTCAAAATCTGATCGGGGGTTTCCAGTTAAAGATTCACAGCCTGCTGCAGCTCACCAGAGCTTCTAACAGCTTATCGGAGCTTATCGGCGTCCTTCGAGGTGGTAAGTTTCTCGCCGCTTATCTAAGATAAATCTGGCCTATCGAAACAGCAGCCGTGGAGGCTCAATAAAACCGATATTTTCAATTGTGTATGGAAATTTCGGAGTCAGTCCCAGCACTGGAACCACTCGTTCACTGTTTAGTCATATATGTATCTTTTTTTTATTACGGAGCGAGCGAAGCGAGCGGAGTCTTACGTAGAATAACGGAAATTTCTGAGTATGAGCGGCCGGCCGGCCGGCCGGCCGGCCGGCCGTGCGGACGCTTTTGCGAGGCTTATATCTCAGCAACCACTTGACCGATTTACATGCGGTAATTTTTGTAGGGTAGCTTCATTCCTTCTACCAAGTATTGGACTATTCCCGATGCATGTGGGTGACCCCTTATGCACGTGCCACGTGCAAAACGAAGAGGTGTCACTTTTGTAATTGTTGCAATATCTCGGTAACTACTTGGCCGATTGCGCTGAAAGTTGGCATGTAGGTAGGCACCCACTAGGCACTGCATATCCATGTGCCAGAATTGGGGTGCCGCTGCACGTGCGCACGTGCAGGGGTCGTTTCCAGATCTCGAGAACGGCTCGACCGATTGCGCTCAAATTTGGTACACAGTTAGGGACCGGTTACTAGGGTGCCGTGCACAAGTCAGTTGGGACCCATTTTGCACGTGCGCACGTGCAGGGTGCCGCTTCCAGATCTCGAGAACGGCTGGGCCGATTGTGCCCAAATTTGGCACATCGCTAGAGACCAGTCAGTAAGGTGCCGTGCACAAGTCAGTTGGAGGTACCCCCTCGAAATTTCGCACGTGCAAGACTCACCCCCTCGCTCGCTCCGTTAGTCGCCTCAAAAGGCGCTATACTGGTAAAATATTATTCAGTGGTTACAATCGCGCATATCTTCGTTTATCGCACCAAAATCATATCAGACGCCATTGAGATTCATTGGATCAGTGATGCAGCTATGCTTGCTATACGTAACTGCAGTGTCCACAATTCTGAGACAATTATTGAGCGTATTTGAGTGAGTACTTTCTGAATCTCCACTGCTTAACTCGAGTTCATGCATGATGCTGATGAAGTACGACAGTGCTATTTTTCCAGCCCTATATGTTGTCGTTTTAATTTTCACATGTGTTTTATGTTGTTTAAATTTTCCCATGGTGACTGCACCATACCTACGCAATACAGCAAACAACGAAAGCACTCTCGACACTCCAATCTCTCAGAGACACCGAGAGGACAGCCAATTGGTCTAGATAAATAGCATCTCTTTCCACGGCTTGGCTTTCACTGCAAAGCTGATACCATTATCAAAATCGGAAATCAGTGTTTACCATGCATTGCACATTGCTCAGCATGAAACGTACACCTTGCATTTACTTAGCTCCTGCTTTACCGAATATCAATAAGGCGACATCTGTAAGGAACACGATTGAAGCATTAGCTGTTATAGAGGTCGCGGCGGAAGGATCCGGCGAGCTGATGTTACTGACACTACATACCTACAGAGGGATGGCCTGGGGTGGGTAGGTGACTGAGCTGAGGTCTGCTATAATTTCGCGACGCCTTCTAGGTGTTTTTATTCTGGGTATCAGAGCAGTAGGCGTGTGATGGGCCATGATGAGGCTAGTTAACCCTATTAGTGGCAGGGGGGGTTGTTTTCATCCACCCCTCAGGTTTTTCGGGAATATCTCCGAAATCGCTGAAGCTACGAAGCTGAAATTTTCTGACTTTTCCTAAAACTAAATAGGGCACATACCCTGAAAATTTCAAGTTCATAACTTTTTCAGGGGCGGCTCCAGAGCACTGGGAATCGGGGGGTCCTATTCGTGAAGCGAGTCATTTGGGCGAAGATCACGATGCAGATGTATTATAACTGTATGTACACACAGAAAAATATTAACACCGTTAGCGGTGTAATTGCACAGTACATATCTGAGCACTTGAGGAAGGTTAATTTAGTCCCTTCCCCGCTTAAATTACTCGCGCTTCTAAATGAACACCAGGAAGAAGGTAATAGAACACTGTTAGGAGGGTTGGGTGTTTTGCTACATGTAGTAAAACACCCAACCCTCCTAACAGTGTTCTATTACCTTCTTCCTGGTGTTCATTTAGAAGCGCGAGTAATTTAAGCGGGGAAGGGACTTAATTAACTTTCCTCAAGTGCTCAGATATGTACTGTGCAATTACACCGCTAACGGTGTCAATATTTTTCTGTGTGTACTAGTTTTACGAACAGTGAATGAAAGGTATCATGTGATAACATATACAAAGTTATTGTGCATCCTCTTTTGACACATTTTTGCTATAATAGGCGGATCCAGGCGTCCAAAAAGGGGGGTTATGTTTTACCTCCCAACATAGGTGCCCTGACACCGCCTATGCATGACCAATACAATTGTAGTCGTTCTCTCATAAGAAAATTGTAACATAACAAGACCAATACCACCCAGTTTTTAGAAACAGTACCAACAAAAACCTTATTTACTATACTTTTTGTGTACCCCCAATCTCAATAATCTGTATCCGCCTATGATTTTTGAAAATGCATATTTTTAGGATCCATGTGAATTCCTGGTTCATTCTCTATCGATCGGCAAAAGTTGCGTTAAGATTGGTTCAGAAACCTGGCCGTGATAAACAGTCTAAAATGTATCTGCAATTTGCCCGTTTTTACCCCCTCTACCCCCCTATTGACATTTCTTTAATTTTTATTTTTTAGAAATGTAGATCACGTTGAGCGAAATCGAATGCCGTTTGAATTTTGAAAATCAGCCCGTTAGATCTCGAGATATCAAGGGGGGGTCGTAAACAGCCCCCCTGCCACTAATAGGGGTAGCCAGGAGCCTGCCACTAATAGGGTTAAAGGAGCCTACTTTAAAGTTTCAATGCTTTTGAGCTGCACACAAATTTGTTTGTCAATTGAGAATGTTATTAGAATGCTATGAAAGCAGCGAGATCGGATCAAATTTTGTAAGCAAATTTTGTAATAAAATAAGCACCTTCGGTCAACACCACCAAACGCAGGTCGCCCCGAGTGGGCTGGAACCATCAACCTTTCTGTTAACAGCCGATCGCGCTAATCAATTGCGTTTAACCAAATTTACACCAAATGTTAACCAAATGTGTACCAGATGTACCATTCCAAATATGTACCAGGTCCAGATACCACCAGATTTTTCAGATAACAGGGGGTCAAAACGCTCCTCCGTTACGGCGGCCAGGGTCGATCAATGGGCCTGCGGGCCGCAGGCTAATAGAAACTGGTAAGTGGTAATATATAAATTTTGGTGTCTTAAACCCATTACCCATATCAGCAAGAAAAATCGTGTGTGGCTCACTGCATCAGCTGTGGTGTTACTTCCGTGATTCTGTGTGTTTTGAAACTAACAATTAATTTTGATAATAGAAATAAGAACTTAGAAGTGTAATTATGGGGCACGAAGCCGTCATTCATCAGAGCCAGCGCCGTGTAGTATGTGAAGACCAAAGTGAAGCTCTGTTTCGTCCTCAAGATGCTACATCGACGACCTTCTAAATAACCTGAGGTACTAAACCTACCGCTCAGCACTAGGTCCCTCCTCGTGCAATTACATCTTCACTAATACGCCAGATAAACCTCATATCACGGATCGACCCGGCCTATCAGGTACCCCACAAACACATGTAAATACCACCCGCTAAACTGCATGGTAGTGGTACCATATAAAACAGCACGCGCGAGTCAGAGCAGCCACCTGCCGGTCGGCCAAGCTCGCCGGCTGAGGGGACTCTTCCTGCGCAGACCGGCGGTCGTCAGGGACGGCCCCCACGCTGCCACCATGCGCATGGTGTGGTGCCTGGCCGCGGTGGCCCTGGTGGCCATCCTGATGCCTGAGCCTTCGGAGGGCCTCTCCGGTAAGTGGGAAGGTCGCTTTTCAGTAAAAGATGATATGGGCTGTAGCTGCTGCATATATAATATATATGGGTAACTTTTCTTGATATGTGGCGTGTACATATAATGCTCAAATCATCGTTGGTTGTTAAAAAGCGAATCACCTCGTTAAAGGGACCCTCCCACCTTAACATTAGATTTGAGTTGAGATAGCCAAATTGGTGGCCATGGCCTGAAAATACCGGTTTGGGCACTCACAACATCGAAAAATGCTTTAATTCGGAGATATCGAATTTCAAACTTGCAGTTTTCGGATTCTAAGGGGCTAATGCATTGGTATGCCCCCTTAGAATTTGTGACGTCAGCGGAGATCTCACGATTTTAAATCTTTTACTTAAAGGTAGTGTGCCACCTTTGAAAGATTTCCCATTTTATTTTTCCTAGGATAAGAAGCTTCTGTTTTTACCTAATATCGCAAAAAAAATCAAAAATGGGCCTGGAATAGTGCCTTTTTCGCCTAAAAGTTTATCGGTTTTTCGATATGTATAACAACTGTAGTGGGCTCACCTGCAAACAGGCGTCGGCAACAATCGCGAATGCGGCGCACATGTGACAATAAGCAAAGGTCATTATAGTGTTACGACGTACGGGAATGAGTTATCAGCTGTCTAATCGTAGACAACACAATGTCGAGCCTTAAACTGTAAGCCTGTATTGGTATTGTTTCTTTTATTTGGCTGTCGAACATTATTTATGGTTTGAAATATGATTTTATGTAAAATAATTGATATGAAAAAGCCGTCTCTAAAGTTATGACCCCATTTCACCACACGCAAGTGGCAGAAATGACCATGATCAGCTGACGCATTTTTCTTGGCCGAAGTCAGAGCGCGCAGCCCGACGCGCCACCACCGCACCACAAAGTATGAGCAGAAGCCGCGCCCAAAGCCAGGGCCCCGGTAACGTGAGGTAGCCGAGTCGGGGCAGCGTGCGCTGACCCAAGCCGGGGCCGCAGCTTTGGGCGCGGTCTACCGCATCCCCGCGGGCAGCCCCGGGCTATCACATGACACCGGGAGGACGCGCGGCTCCGGCTTGGGTCAGCGCACGCTGCCCTGACTCGGCTACCTCACGTTACCGGGGCCCTGGCTTTGGGCGCGGTCTACCGCACCACCTAACAGGCGTGTTCGTAAACCGCAGGAGCTGATGATGAACGGGTTTATCGAAACTTGATTGGATGAGCATATCGGTAATAGCGATTTCAGTGTGTGCATTTATTGTTCATAGTGGTGTGAAATGTGGTTGGGGTACGACCGACAACCCGTCGGGGCGAATTTCACACTGGGGTACTCAAAATTTGAAGAATTTAAGACGTTTCCATGAGTTTTGAAGGTATGGATAAGTTCTAAAAATCCGGTTCTCCTTATCTGGGCCATTAACTCCATACGGTCCAGGAAAGCTGGCACACTACCTTTAAACGTTTGGTAGCACGCGGTGGTATATGCTGCTTTGCGCGCAACAAATGCCGCACTTTCAAATAAAGTCGCTAGGAACAGCGGAGATCCCAAAAAGTAAACAAAAGTAAAAGTCTAATATCTTGAAAACCGGTGAATATTTTTCGATGGAATTTGGTAGATATTCGTTTTTGCTCTTTCTGAACCGAGCGACATCACTTTCATGCCAATTCATTAACTTTTTTGAAGGTGGGAGGGTCCCTTTAAAAGCTTTTCTTTCTTTCACAGGCCATGTGTTCTGTAACAAATGGCGCCCTGTTTTTGACCTGGCAAGTTTTTCTTGATTTGCCTAGGTGGGACAAGGACAAAGACTTCGTACAAATGTTTGGTGTGCTGCTTCTACTCGAATAGTTTTTTAGTCCAAAGCGTAAAACTGTGGTAGAAAAAGAAATTCGGCTTTTTGTGCTAAACTGGAACACGCTTGGTGCTATATAAATCGGTGCTTCCTCCAATTAATGTGTTAGAACCTCGACTTTTGTTGTCAACATTTGGGCCGAAAAATAGCAAGGTCATGGCTTCTGCCCCCGCCCCCGCCGATTTTGAAGCGATATAATATGTGTTTGTCAATACTGTTTCAGGGTTTCATGCTGGTTTGAAAATTGCAAAAGTAGCAATGAAGTCTGCACGTGGAGGACGAGTTGCGAAAGCAGGGAAGGCCGTCGGACATGTGATAAAGAAGTCATTCTCCCGTGTCAAAGGTAAGCTGTTCACTTTGGCGGAAAAATTGCTATGTGAAAACAGGAATGGCATATTATGATATCCATCCAAGGGTAATACATACTTTCCTAGGCTTTCCTTTTCGTAGTTAGTTTAATAGCTAATTTTTTGCTGTCCGATTTTTCAGTTCCAGTCTTATAGTTATCAGCAAATTTAGATATTGCAGTAATTTTTATTTGAGTGTCATTGCTTAGCGACCGCAGTGTCATACCAAATGCCATGCTAAGTGCAAATGTTCTTTGCATGTTTTAAAACCCGCAAACTTAACGGAATTGAAAAAGTTTTGCTCATTTTAAGCACGCCTATCAAATCTATATTTTGGTGTCGCTGTGCTTTCATCGAAGAAATTAGCGTGGATCTTCTTCTGCACTTTGAAAGAGTTAGGCCAATAGTGCGCCAGAAACAGGTTAACATGGATCACCACACGGCGCTAACATGGGGTGAACTGGAGAGAAATCGAACCGTGTGCATCCCATTTGAGCCTAGCCTGTCGGTGCTGACGTGAAGCGTTTAACCCTTTGACGTTTAACCCGTCGTCATTTAACATTTAACCCGTCGTCATTTAACGTTTAACCCGTCGACGTTTAACTTGCTGACGCTTCTCCCATGACATGCCGTTTCAGGTTTCTTTGGAAGGATCTCCAGGCGTCGTAGGCGCAGGAAGAGCAGGGACAAGAGACGGCACTCCAAAAGATCATCGCGTCGCCTGTCGACAAGGACCAGCAGCTACCGCCAGCGCCGGCGAGATCGTACCAGGTACAAGTCGAGGAACCGACGCCATCGGTCGTCGAGTAAAACCAACAAAAGGAGGCAGCACACGCCGACCAGCCGTCCGGCTACAAAACGTCGCAGCTCTAAGCCTACAACTCAGCCTAAAAATGCCGAGAACGGTGACAAGTCTGTCAGTCTGACCTCTAAGAGTAGGGGCGCTGATACACTCGCTTCGAAGAGCCAGGGCAGTGACACATCTGCTGTGAAACCCCAGACCAGTCAGGGTTCTTTCGTCTCTGCAGAGAGTACCATGAAGATGAGTTCTCAGGGTAGCAGTGGTAGGCTGTCTCCCCAATCACAGCCATCCAAGGGGGGCAGGAGTTCTCAGGCCAGCGACGGTAGCCTGTCTCCCCAATCACAGCCATCCAAGGGGGGCAGGACGATCAGTTCTCAGGCCAGCGACGGTAGCCTGTCTCCCCAACCTCAGCCATCGACCGGGGGCGGGGTGATCAGTTCTCAAGACAGCAGCGGTAGCCTGTCTCCCCAACCACAGCCATCGACCGGGAGCCGAGCGCGGCACTTTGGTGGCCGTGTGGCGGACTCCGTCTTCCAGGGTGCCGTTGGTGGAGTGGTTGGGTCTCTGGTGGAGAAAGCCATGCAAGACAAGCAAGACACGGGTGTGGGGAAGGAAAACACTCAAGCAGCTTCGCCAGTAGCACCGGCCAAAGGTTCTCACGAGGGAGGAAATTCAAACAGCCATCCCCAGAACCCCGCTGGCAATGATGCAGCTAATACTGCGGGAATTGGTGCTCTGGAGGGCACCAGTTCAGGGCGGCACCCGCTTCTGTCGAGGTCGTCAGTCCTGAAGGCACCTGGATCCTCGGTAACTGGCTCTTTTAACAGTGCCATCTCAGGTGAGCAGGGTCAGCCTCAGCGCGCGTCGAACCTCAAGACGGTTACGTCCTCTCTGGCAGCTCCTGGCGAGGGCGTCCTCACCAGCGGCCGGCACATTTTCCGCTGCTACGCCACTCTGGAGGAGGAGGATCCGGTTCAGACGTCGAGCGAGAAAAAGGCACAGAGATCCCGTGGCTAAGATATGGAGAAAACTGATAAGTTTTAATGATCATGACGTAGCAACGATACGAGCATTCGTGTGAGTGTTATTGTGGGTATTGTGTAGTCCTTTCTTCCGATATTATTGCTCTGATGTAGCTGATTTTATTGATGTATAGCCACGGAAAGTGTAACATTCATTCGATTTCCATAGGCATCACTTATCTGGTTGCATGAGGACTGCTTATTCACTCGACTGGGATGTCATCATTCAATCATGTCTTTATCAATGTCTGGAGTGATGTTTGTCCAGACAAGTCAATTGAGATTGTTTTCACTATGGCTGCAATATTAGGTTTTGCTATAACGCGCATGACAATCCTCGTTAACCAGAATCCATGGTCGTACTTTATGAAATAAACCTTTTTGCATGACAAGCACTGTGATTTATCGTCTGCTGACAGTTTACATCACACAACTCTTCAAGAATATATGGCCATGAAGACAGTGACGTATTCGTGCACGCATTAAAAAACGCTGCGACAGCTACATGTTATTTAACTTTACACAGGGCATTGACATGGGGGCCCTCGTCACACATGTACTACATCATCACACATGAGGTACACTGTACAGTATCCAAGCAGCATATTCATCCGGTTGGTAGTTGGAGGTGAAAAAAACAGTTTTCTGTGACTCCTGCGAATTGGCTCAAATTCACCCAGCACATTGCAATAGAGTCCCTCTCATCTCATGATGTTTGCGTGCGTTGGGAGCTTGGATTGCTTACGCTTCCAACGCAAATGTCTAACTAGCCTACCATTTACCAATACCAAGACCAATACCAAGGCCGCAGACACCGATCTTTGTTCAGAAGTGTGCAATAATAGCGAGCTACCATACTCCCCTGAAAATGCAAAGGTCCAGCGAATGCCTGTAAAAACGAGACCATTAGCGAATTACTACTTCACCGATATCGATTCGATGCGGCTGGCATTATACTTATTTAAACTGGCCGTCCGCGAGGCCCAGCAGCTCAGCGGTAACGCGTCGCCTGCACGCGCTGCAAACGACGTCACTCAGGTGTTTGCGCACTGTCTGGCGTCCTTCTGTGTGCGACATTGAACGACCAGGCTCACCATTACCGGTGTGGTATACCGCGAACGATCGTCATATGTGTAATGTTTGAAATAGGCAGCGGCTTCTGCCAACCAGGCGATAACTTAATAGCGGTTCGGCTGTACCTAATGCTATCGAATTTATCAACTTTGATAAATGGTAATAATCCAAAGAGCCCTGCGTCCCCCGGCCTTGATGGGCCATTCGTTGTAATGTTTGCCCATGGATAACACAACCGTACGCAAGCTCAAATGGAGACTGGCGAATTTCTACGTTGCCATGGGCGTCATGCAAAGAAGTGCCTCACCGGACGAGGGATGGCCCTTTCCAAAACCTAGCTCCATTCGGTCTCGATCGTTGCTGCAAGGACGATCGCCTCTTCTTACTGCTTGTCGCAAAATCCTGGTAAGGAATCGTAAGGAATCGTAATCGATTTGGAAAATTTTAGTTTGCAAGCATTGCTCTTTCTTGCGCAAGCTGGATCAAAGACGAACAATTTGCCGTGCAGCTTGATCAACATTTCAAAAACCCGTGCAAGAAAAAGAAACTACAGACGTTCGAAGGAACAATGCAGGATCATTACAGTTCTTCAAAACATACCAAAGAATGCATTGACTTGGAAGTAAGCTCTCTATCCGAAGAGCAGTCACAACACGAAGAGAAACAACAAATTGGCCATCTGTCCAAACCAAAAGTCACCATCACCTATAGCGAGCTGAAGCCTCTGAAGCGGCCGACTTCAGACGAATCCGTGGATGCGCCACCCTCTAACAAAGCCAACGACTCCCTGACGCGTCTCATCAGCCGCTGGACCCACCTCTGGAGCCATCTGTGTCTTCTGGGAGTGCTCCAGTGCCCCTCGTCCGGCTGCGGTCGCCTCCCGTGGTTCCTTCTCCGCACTGTACTGGCAGTAACCCTTCTCGCGCAAGCCGTCACCTCCGTGCGCACGCTGGTCGCTCTTCCCCACGGCGCTGCTTTCTTCGTCAGTTTACAGGCGTGTGAGCACTTCAGTCTTCTGTCTCTTCTTCTACCAGCATTATCCTTTCGAGCGAACGCCTTTCGAAGAGCCCTGGCACTAATGTCGCGCCTTCAGACTTTGGAGGTGTTTGGTGACCTCAGACCGGCCGCTGCGAAGCGCAGGATGGTGTTTGTGATGGTTGTAGCGGGCCTGGTGTTTGTTGGTTTGCAGGGACTTCATGTGATTGGAGGTCTGATTACAGTGGAGTTTCGTCAGAGACAGACACTGCCGGCGAAGAAGTTTGCCCTCTTCCCGATAATGATAACTTCAGACAGCCTTCTGATCCACTACGCCTTGGTGGCGCTGCAGGTTCGTTGGTTTTGAGTTTCCTCACAAAAAAAGTTAAAGTAATTTAAAAACTACGCTAGTCAGATTGACGAGTGATGGATTCTACGTGGAACTCGGAGAACAACTTTTTCTGCTCTTAGCAGACTGGTTGCTCTAACTGTTTGGAAAAGGCTGACCGATTTCATATAAGGTGTGCCTCTTTTTTCAGTTTGTCCACGTCTTCAGCGTCTACGCGGCCAACGTTCTAAGCGTCACCACTCTCCACCTCATCAACATCTTCCTCTACTACCACCTGGACCACCTCGCCACCACCGTCCGAGCGCTGCTGGAGAGAAGCGGTACCCTCGCCAACAGAACTGTCCGGACTTCTCCCGGGGGCTCTGGAGAAAACTGGAGTGCACAGCTCGACGGGGAAACACCCAACACCAGGCGGTGGACCGAGATTCTGGAGGCGCACTCACTTTTGTGGCAGTAAGGGAACGATCTTCTTTTTTATGTATTTTTCTTCGTTCATTCACCATTAGATCGCTCCATCGCTAGATCCACCATCGCTAGTTTTCAGCTCACAATCAACGTTTAAAAAGTGCATGTTTTCAAAGTTGATACCTATCTTTTTGACATATTGTTCTTGCTTTCCTACCAATGCTAATAATAATTCGCCTGGCTCAGACGTACAGAGAATGTTCCATTGCTGTGAAGTGGTATGACCTGTGTGTCCAAAAGTCCAAGGCCTGTCTAATTTCAGACTGCAGGGTGAGCTGCAGAAGACTTTCGGTGAGTGCGGCGCCGTGACGCATCTGGCCGGTCTGCTCGACATCTGTCTGACTTCCTACATCTGTATCAGGGTGAGGAAGGAGAGAGAACGAGGCTCGTTCCAGATGCACTGGCTGTATTTGACGAGTTGTCAAACCGATGTCCGCCCAAGGCTGTGGAAACCTCATTCTCATCTGTAGATAAATTGCAGTATGAACTAATTAAATGCTCAAACATATACCCACTAATATAATGCAAAGTATGAATGTAAGCGTACATACATATGCACATCAATGTTTGTATGTATGTGTGTATAATTTATATGCGTATGTATGCGCTCGCAAAATTTGCTGTTCGTTATACTCACGGGCCTCCGTGGCGCAATTGGTTAGCGCGTTCGGCTGTTAACCGAAAGGTTGGTGGTTCGAGCCCACCCGGGGGCGACCGTTGCCTTTTCATGAGATACGGTTTACGTTTACCATGTGCAGTTCGTTTCCCCAATATGCACACACTAACTTTTAGACATTGCAATTTTGCATATCGCTTTTGAGGTGATGCAGCAAGCATTGATAATTATTCGTCCCCTTCCGTCCCGTCCTTCTTTTCTTTTGGACTCACTCAGCGCCAGTTGTGTAATAGGTTCTATTTTCGTTCGGCAGTCGCTGGTGACTTATTTGCCCGTCCCGTCTTGTATTCGTTTCAGGCTTACTGGCAGTACGAGCTGAGTTGGATGGTACTGGCGGTGGCCGCCGGCTACATGACCTTCTCTGGACTCTGCATCCTGTTCGAGTCCATGTCCACCGACTGCGTCCAACAGGCGGTGAGAGTCCGACGTTTACGTACAGGCGTGCATCCGTCGACTGTCGTACATACACTCTCGATGTTTTACCTTTAGTGGAACTGAAAGGATTTAATAGCGCTTGTTTTAAACACGTTATCCAAAGAGGAAAAAACTATTGCGAAGTAACGCCAGTCAATTTTCGTTTTACTCTAGAGCTGAAAGACTTATTTTCTAGCCGCTTAAAAGGTTTAAAACCCATAGTGAGTCATTACGAAACGGAATCAATGCTTGAAATGACCATCTCTTCATTTTTCAGAACGCGGCTATTTTCGACTCCAACTACTGCCGATCTCTGGTCGGTCTCCGTCCCCAGGAGCTGGATATCGCCCGGCTGATCATGATGAAGGCCAGGGAGCCCATGCAGCTGAACGTGATGAACATGTTTGACATCACAATGGCCAGCTTCGGATCGGTGAGGTTTACTAGCGGCGGATGTTTTAAAGCCTTCGATGTTATACGTTGTGTTGTAAGCATATCTGCATTGTGCATTATGTTTATTATGGGTCACGGCACATTAAATTTCTTCTTAATCGACTATCCACGCACAGCTACATACAGTTATGGCTGGTTAGATATTATTTTCAACATGAGGTTGCCGTTGAAGTTGAACTTCAACTTCAACATGAAGTTGAAGTTGACCTATAAGCATTTAAATTTTTTTAAATTCTAGTTTAAATTATTTCAATCTTCACTCACCCATTAATCATGGCTTTTCTTGATGTTTCAGGTGCTGAGCCTGGCAGTGACCTATTTAATCATCATAATACAGTTTGACGGATAAGTATTGAGCCCATTTCAACCGACGCATCTTCAACAAGAGGGCACTGCCAATGTAGCTGACGAATAGAAAACAATCAACGAGAGATCCCTTGCACCGCCCTTGATTATAATACGTAGCTAGTAAACCCGTAGCCTATAGGTCTAGATGATCGTTTCCTAATAATCAGTGATTTGCATTTTCTGTCAACTTGTGAAACATTTAAGCGTATTTGCGTCGAAAAGTACCATGCATTTTATTTCAACTCGTATTTGAAAGGCTGATGGAGCTCGACTTTGAATTTACAAGAAGAGGTCAGATAAGTATCTACTATCGCTTTTCGCCCGCTCGCCATTGCGTCGTCCGCGACACCAGCGCCCCATCACCGTCAACGTCTGGCCGTCGTCGTCGTTAGTTAGTTGGCGTCGTCACAAACCATAGATGGCGCCTTCGACAGTCAGTGTTATTCAGCATTCTACCAGTATTTCCTCTTTTGTTCGGCTTTCGACAGAGTCAGGAGTCCCTCCCGCTCCGCTACGGTTGATGGCTCGAATATCCCGGCTGCACCCATTTCATCACTCTGCACGCCGTCCACTCTCTCCAGCTTACCAGCTACCACGCACTCTGACCGTGCTGGAATGACGACGTTCGACAGTAATCGCACTCGCGCACGTCTTGGTCGAACCTGCTCCCGGCTCGGCAGGGGAACGCTCATGGTTCCAATCTTGAATGAGCCAGCGTCGTCGTCAATGACCGTGCGATGCATGCACGTGAAGTCGCGACCTAGTATCACGTCGTACACGAGGTCGTCTGCCACGGTCACTACCGGGCATCGGAAGCTGACTCCATCAATGCATAATGAGAGGTTTTCCAACTCACCAACTATCTGAAGGGAGGTACCTCCCGCTCCGATAGCATTGCGCGCGCTCGGGCTGAGCCGGATTGTTCTTAGTGCTGGGTTCCCCTCATAAAATCCTTTTCGCATCATGGTGAAGTCGGCACCAGTGTCCACCAGCGCCCATGTCGGAGCGCCGTGAATGACGACCCGAACGGCCGACGCCGTGAGTGGGGACGCTTTAGAGAGGACTGGGACCTGTCCCACGGCTCCAGTCCGGTTCAGTTTTCCTGATGCGCACCGGCGCCCCGCCGGGGATCAGCGGCTCTTGTCTCGGAGTGGCCTCCGCCAGTGCTGCCACCCTGGAAGTATTGGCACCCCGCCATCCAGTGGCCCTGCTGCCCACAACATAAGCAGAGCGGCAGCGCGCGCCCGTCCCTTGTCGACGGCAATGAAATGGGACAGTTTCGCTTGAGGTGACCCAATTCTCCACAGCCGAAGCATCTGACGCTAGGTGAACCACGGCTACGCCCGGGGCAGTCTCGCTGAAAATGACCCGGCTGCTCGCAGCGGTAGCACCGGGGAAGTCGGCGAGACTTACTCGCATCAGTTGTCGTCTTCGGCGCCATTGTGATGGCCGATATCGACTCGTGTAGCCCGCGAATGTGATCTTCGATGGCTGTGAGCCGGTTGTTGTCCGTCACAGTCTTTTCAGCTTGACCCACGGTTGCTTCACCCCCGACCGGGGGGACCGCCCCGATGACGTCGATCTCATGATTTCGCACTGCCTTGATCGTCTTCCTCGTCTCCTCGAATTCTTTACTAACGCGTACCGCGTCAGTCAGTGTGGATACGTTTTGGCTGATTAACCTCTCTTGCAATTGCGTGTCACGGAGGCCACAGATGAATCGGCCGCACTGGAATCCCTCCATAGCGCTGTGGTCGCTGGGCAGAGCCGGCTGGGCTAGCCCACTCAGCTCTCTGATCCTGGCTGAGAAGTCGTCAACAGACTCCGAAGGTGACTGGCAAACTCGGTTGAGTTCGGCATGAGCCTGCAACGTGCTTATTTGCCGACCGAACCGACTTTTCAGCGCTTCAACCACCCTGCCGTAGTCCTTCCGTGACTCTTCGGTGAGTGACGCGAATGTGTCCAGTGCGACTCCGTCCAAAAGACCCACCATAGCCGCCAGCCGGTCCCCTGCTTTCATGCTCGCCGTCTGAGCTTCGAATCGGCGGAACCATTTCTGCCACACTTCCCCCGACTCTCCACTAAATTTCGAAGCTCTTGAAAGGAAAATGGTAGATAAATCCATAGTTTGTTATACTGAACTCTACTGGAGAGAACCTCTCACCACCCAAAGTCTCTACTCACCGGCTCCGTCTACCTTTTCCACCGTGAGCTTGCGTAGGCCGTCACAGAACTCTCACAGTAATCTTCTTTCTTAAAAACTCATATGCAGCCCATTTACGTTATTGGTCCTACCGACCGCGCCAAAATATGTTAGGGCCAAGTAAAGCTGCATATACCACGACACTGTGTATTGTGCTTCCAGCGACCGACGACCAAGCACGGACACGGCGACCCGCCGACTGACCCAGTCCGGTCACGGTCGCGTCCTTATATAATCACGGCACAGAGCGCATGCGCGGTGACCGCGCGGCGGTCAGGCGGCTCGCCGGCCGGCCGGCCGAGCCGCCGGCCCGGCCCGCGCCTCGGCCCCGCACGACCGGTCCGCAGTCACAATATCCCAACAATAATTTAGACGCGTTTTTTTATTTGTTCTGGTTTAGGTCTCATTTCCTCAGTGTTTTCATTTACCATGCACGATAGCCTTAACTTATCAATAACCTCTCGTTAAATGCAACAGCAAAAGTTCAATTACCTACTTATTAATTTGCGGGTGAAATATATAATGTTTTGAACATGGTTCACAAATGCATGTGTAATCGCATTTATTTGCTCGGTATCTGGGGCCACTGACCACTTTTACCTGCAGGCTGGGCCGTAACGGTCTGCGGTCATGTCAAGTGAGATGTGTCTGTATCTTTTACTCCTCACGACAAAACATAAACGATGTAGCCATTCCACCCAACAAAACAAGTAAAGGACGGAATAGCTGAGTTCAAGGATAGTCCTTGGGGTATGTTTTGGCCATCGCTACAAAATCAATCACACGAACTCACAAACACAGTTACATGCCTTCGTTAACGTTGCAGGTCTAACACAAGCTTGTGTTTGTTACGGTTTCCACGACATTCGCAAGCCGCAGCATGGGTACGACATAATTCACGCTTCGTCCACGTGGTACTTGCATGCAGTAGCTCATATGAATGAGATCCATAAGCCAACAAACATATTGAGCTGTTAGCATAAACTGTACGGCTTGTAAGCACGGCAAGGTCGAGGAGCGTTTGTAAGTGCTTTGAATTGTGATCCCGTATTGGTAGTTCATTCAGCAGACCAGACATGCCAAGGATTATATAGAACTGGCGTTAGTAATCGTTTGACCATTCCTGACAAAAGGGAGGGGACGGCTGCACAGGAAAACACTGTATGCAAACAAGAAATGAATGAACAAGTATCAACACACCTGACAGGCTTAGATGGAATGACAGAAGACAGTGACATCGATGATCGAGCTGTGACGGTATTTCTGTACCGTGTGATTCGTCGGTGTTTGATCATCGCCACACTGTTTGACCTCCAGGTGAACACGAGGGACACTCTGTGTTTACACAGCATTTTCATATTCCACGAGCCATACAACATGTCGGGATCGAAGCGATCGGGCAAACGCTAAAACTCCACCGTTGGGTGGAACCACGCTCAGAACTCTGTGAGCCCAATCATTGGCAACACGTACCCTGCAGAAGCTGGCGACCACGTTGGCTTCTGCGTCCTCCCTTTGGCTCCTCGGCTTCCTATGACTTCTAGTCTCACGGTCCTTCGAGGCCCTGGACTCAGTACTACGTAGAACTCTCCAAAATCTAGGATTCCGCTCTTTCCACTCCCTCCACTTTCTTCGAAGTTCCAACTAGTTGTCAAGCACCAAAGTCCTCCCAAGACCAAGATCTACAAGACATCCAGGTCAAGTCTCAGGATGCTACCCATTCCTGAAGCCATTATCCACAGGAGTCACTGAAACCTCCTCATTTAGGGTCCAGGCTCCTTTACAGTACCAATCGTAAAGCCGTTTCCAGCGAAAGTCCTAGAACCCTCAAAATCCTGGACTAAACTATTCTGCAGTCCGAGCTTCCCGGATTATCGTCGCAGAGCCACATCACTCGCAGCGATGCAGAAGTCGCCAACGATGCGCCCCAGCTGGTGGCCTGCGGAGTGGCCCGGCCCGGCGCGATGTCTGCTGGTGGCCGTCTGCGTGGTCCTCGTCGCGCGCCACTGCTGGTCGCTGCTCCTCACGCTGCTCAGCGAACCCACCACCATGACCATCACATACACCGATCGCAGTGACGTCCAGGTACCCAGCATCACAATCTGTAGGCAGTCGGCGAAGGCGTTTGAGCTAGAATCATCGAACGAAACGGCGGATGGAGCGAACGTCTCCGTGGCGAAGACAGTTTGGGATTCGAGCCTGAAGCTGAAGGATCTGGTGATCTCCTGCGAACCAGACTGTACTGTTCAAGAGGATGTCAGCTTTCCTGAGGGACAAGTGAACGTGGGAATAGGAACGTGGACGACTTGGGTGCACCTTGACTCACTGTGTCACATTTTCATGCCCAACATCACTTGGCGAGGTGTGACAGTACTCACACATGGACAGAAGAACCGTGACCTCTCACTGACGCTGAGTAACAGCGACGGCAGTGTCAGCACCTTCGTGACGATCCACCCGCGTCGATGGCCCGTCTTCGGAGGCACAGGAATCGAGGACGACGAGTCGTTTATCGTCGACATTGGCACTAACGGCAAGTTTTTCGCAAAGTCTATCGTGCGTGAGTTTGAAAACTTGAACCGAGAACCCTGCCAGGCTTCTCCAGACTATCATCAGGAGGAGTGTATGTACAAGTGTCACGAGCGTATTTGGATCAGCCGCTACAACTGCTCTCTACCACAGATGATCGAGTATTATCCGCAGCTTTCTGAGTGCCCGCCTGCCTATTTGAACCTGACTATCAATATGCTTGGAATGATGGAGACCTGCGGGTGCCCAAAAGCCTGCCACTTCAGAATGCTGAGTGTCGACGTGGTTCGCAGGCGATTTCCAGGTGAACTAATGAACATCACGTCAATTTATCTCACGTCTGCCAGGGTGCCAGAGGAGGTTTCCACGTTCCGCAAGTCCTACTACTTCGGTGACATGGTGAGCGACGCTGGAGGGTTCATCAGCCTGATGCTGGGGTTCACGGTGCTGTCCTTGTTTGACACGGTCAACAGCCTGCTGCAGGGTCGCGGAGGAGTGAAAGCCGGACGAGAGACGGGTCCGATCCGACCTGAGGTGAACGTCATCACGTCTGGGGTACTGACGGCGGGCGCTCCGCAGTCTCAGTGGCGCTACTACCAGTCGCGACCTTAGGTGTCAGAGGCTGGGTCAACTGGTAATTAGCTAGCCAACAGTCTTATAGTCGACTGGAGACTGTTGGGTGCAAGGTTCATGTGGATAAGGAGTCGCTAGACACCCAGCAGGCTGGTCGATAAGGCATTTCTAGGTGTTCGGTAGTAGCAGATCGATTGATGGTACGTTCATGATAGACAAGTAGTAATTCTTCAGTGGATAACCGTGTGTAAGGTGTCGTTATGTTGCCTGCATAAAAGCGCTGTGGTGACGTGTAACATGTTTGTATCCGCCGAAGTATTCGTCTACAATAACTGATAGGATTGTGTGTGTGGGGAGGGGGAGGGGGCGTGGGCAAGATAAATGACAGTGTTCGAGCGGATAAATGATATGATATGCGGCGGTTGATAACTAAATGTTAGCACCTCTTAAATGAATAATTAAAATGACATCGGTGTCAAACAGTTATTTCCACATATGTAACTCAGCATGAGCGTAGGTATTTGAAAATATACGCCTGTAAATAAAGACACTTAAAAACGTTTAGTTTATTGACGCTTCCCACGAAAGACTGAGCAAATTAAACGAATACATCGTCCCAGGTAATTAATAACTAACGACCAAGCAACATTGAGTACTTTTCATTCGTCTGCAATTATACTAAACATAATTTCGTGTAGATCACTGCTTCTTAACAACACAACGTACAGTATTTGAGCTAACGAAAAACTTACCGAGACAAAAGTCTTAAGTTCAACATTTATCTACACTTTACGCTAAAACATTACCACACATTTCCCCTAAAACCCTCTACACATTCAATGAAAGACAAAAACAACCGAGCTCGGTCTCAAATTCAATTCAAACCGAGTCCGACGAGTATTGAATTAATTCGCTCGCGTCCCACTCAGGCCTTGAAGACTGGCGGGTCACGAAGACTCGGGTGTCCACTCAGGCCTTGAAGACTGGCGGGTGGCGTATACTCCACGTCCCACTCAGGCCTTGAAGACTGGCGGGTCACGAAGACTCGGGTGTCCACTCAGGCCTGGAAGACTGGCGGGTGGCGTATGCTCCACGTCCCACTCAGGCCTTGAAGCCTGGCGGGTCACGAAGACTCGGGTGTCCGCTCAGGCCTTGAAGACTGGCGGGTCAGGAAGACTCGGGTGTCCGCTCAGGCCTTGGAGACTGACGGATGGCGTATACTCCGCGTTCCACTCAGGCCTTGAAGACTGGCGGGTCACGAAGACTCGGGTGTCCGCTTAGGCCTTGAAGACTGGCGGGTCGATATCCCTGATGATGGTCTTGTCCTCGCGGTGGACAGAGGTGTGTCCCCCGTATCCACCGTGGTGGACGCCGTGGTGGACGTCACTGTGGACTCCGTACCCCTTCGGGATGTAGATCGGGGGAACTGGAACGGAAACTTTGACGTCATACCTATATTGTCATTTCGTAAACAGCTTGTTGCACAATGGTCAAATGTGGTTTGATAACCGCTCGTTTACGGGTCGACATTTTTTCCGAACCGTAATATGGACGCTTGTATCTTATTTCAAATGTAAAAAATAGAAGGCGCACAGACGAAAAATAAACAATGAACTAACATTGGCTCTTGTCTTTTTTCAACGAACGTTTCCGCGTTTCATAGCAGCCGTAAAACGGCTCGCTTCAGGTGGCTGCACGACCGTTGAAAACGATCCAACATCAACAAGTTACGCTTTCCCTGGATTTATGATTGCAGGCGCAGATTTATGTAACTTGTGCAATGTCAACTACTCTAAACGATAATCGTTTTGCGCATGTGAAATGAGGATCATTTTAGATGAAACTCACAGAAACTGGCTCACTCTGGAGATGAAAGCTATTTCCGAATCTAGGAATTATTGGTGACAGGACCCACAAGAACGCAAGAACGCAAAAGGATCGATGTTTCCGATGAAGTGAAGAAGTGTCTAGTTTTTGTAATTGGCTTCGTTACAGGACGAGGTTAAGTGTCGTATATTATTTTTGCCTTTTTGATAGCTTAGCTAAAAAGAAACCACAGATAATAAATGGTGCAAATCATGTGTTTCTAAGAAAGTTAGAATATAGTTAGTAAACATTTTGATTGATCGATCGGCGTTTTGAGCGAGGAGACGCTGAATTGTGTCCCTGCCACCTGCCCCATGCATCCCTGAACGAAATACCGATAAACTTCTGATATATCCCCGTGCTTTCAAGCGTCCTCACCTCCGTGCGCCCCGGCGTAGATCGGCCGGTAGTCGGCGCCGTGGCCGCCGCTGAAGTGGTGGCTCTCGTGGTGTCCCGTCTCGGTCACCACGTGCCGGCCCACCGGGTGACCGCCGTGACCTCCCGGCGGCGGCAGCACGATCGGCAAGATGTAGATGGACGGACCGTACCCGTAGCCGTAGCCGGAGCCGGAGCCGGAGCCGTAGCCGCCCGGAGCCGGAGCGTACAGGGGCGAGAGGTACGAGTTGGAGGTCTTACCGTCCTCGGCGGAGGCGGCACTGTCCTCGGCGTCCTCGGAGGAACCGGAGCCCTCGGAGGACACGGAGTCGTCGGAGGTCAGCTCGGCGGAGTCGGCGAGGTCCAGACTGCGGGCGTGTGACCTGGGGCTGACCTCCATCGGTGACCAGCCCTCCGCCTGACCCAGCTCCGGAGACGACTCCGATACTGAAATAGCAGGAGTTGGATTGAAACTTTTGGGTTACAAATGTAGCAACAGACTTCGCTGCGGGAAAATGGTTAGGTAACAACCCCAACCATTTGCGTAAAAAGTCGTTGAATACCTCCTCACTTTCTTCCCCCACCACTCTCAGACATCCTCGTCTTCATAGAGCTTCAAACATTGGGGCAAAATGACAAAGACATTAATGATATTTCATCGCCAGCTATGTGTCGTAGTTTTTATGGTAGAACTACTCTATTTTGCCAGTTCCGTGAAAGCAGTCCTACTTTTTGACGATACAACCGGTCTAATAAATCAGCAGACAGCAAACAGCGGTCCACCCACCTTTCTTGTCCCCCTCCTCCTCGCTGTCCTTTTCCAGCTTCCTCAGCCGCCGGCGCAGCGTCCGCGACCTCCTCGGTACCAAATCCTCATGGAACAGCTGGCGGGCCTTCTTGGGCCTCTCCTCCAGGGCCTCATCGAGGGCCTTCTTGACGGCAGCTGGATACTCCTTCTCGGAGACGGAGGCGCCGGACTCTTCGGCCATCGGCGCGGCGGCGGCCACCGCCAGGAGGCCGAACAGGACGGCGCACTGTGGAGGGTGAAAACGGACGCTTTTGGTTAAAATATCCCTTAAATAACTTACTATACTTTGAAAATAAAGATAGCATGGAGTGAGGTTGAACGAACGCAAATCAAAAGACAATGAATAAAACAGCATATGGGAGAAAATAGGTATAAGAGAAGGGCTAAAGGTGACCTGAAGCTGGGATGAAAATAAATTAAATCAAACTAAAAAGAGAAGTGCGTTAAAATGCCAACCATCGAGACCTCAATTTGAATAAGTCCATTTCGACTAAACTGGAAGCCGTTGAAAAAGTAGAAATTAATCCTCACCTTCATGTTTGTCTCCACAGATGTTATCACCACCTCGCCACTGCTCCCTCTGCTAGTACTCCGCCTCAAACACCGCCTTATACCCCCTGCGCTCCGCTACTCCCCGTGCCCTTTCACCCTGCTCCGTCACAATGGGTACACCGTGTAGTGGAGCTCCCAGATGGGCGAGCCGGGCCCGGTGTGTGCCCGGACCGTCACGGCGCCGCAGAGTGACGCGCTCATGTCACGCGTCACGGAGACGGTGACGGCTGTGACGGCGTCACGGGGAGTGATATGTGACGGTCTGGTGGGATTGTGTGCAGATCGGCGCAAAAATTACCGCAGAGGTGGTGGGATAATCAACAGGGGCAGCCACTAGCAAGGTGACAGATTTCCTATATATGTTACGGGTCATATGCTAACTTGGGCAGTATGCAAACTACCCGGGCAGTAAGCAAACTACCCAACAGCCCGGGCAGTATGCATACCGCCCGGGTAGTATGCATACTACCCGACCCCTTGGGCAGTATGCATACCGCCCGGGAAGTTTGCATACTGCCCGGGTAGTATGCATACTACCCACCTTTCAGCTCACGGGCAAGATGTTTACTCGGGCAATATGCTGACCGTGGCTCGTGAGACTATTTAATGCAATAGCTCACAAATACATGTCAATGACAGACGCTTTAACCCGCGCTGGGGCGGTGCTCGGCGCCAGCCGTGCCGGGCTGGGGGGGGGGGGGGATTAAGCACTCCTGTTCGGCTCCTGTGCCTGGTGCCACTTAGCGGCACAGGAGTAAGCGGCATGTAAGATGCGGTAACCGGCATTCGAAATAGCGTAAAAAAATCATGACGTCATTTTTTCACTCTAGTCATTTTTTAGGTTAGAGGCCAGTTTTACCAACAGAAAAAATAGCCGCCTGCTGGAATTTTTCGCCTCAAGACGGCTTCACATACGGAGCGTTAATGGTAAAGCCCTATCCGCTTATGTGCCAATCGCGTTTAGGTTCCGTATGTGAAGCGGTCTTTAGGCAAAACATTCCGGCAGACGGCTATTTTTCTGTTGGTAAACTGGCTTCTGGGCTGGTAACTTGACCATTATAATTTGTAACGTCTTACATGTAAATGGTGTCATGCAACATTAGCTATTGAAACTATAATAACGCCCTCTACTGATCCAGGTGCCAAACCAAAGGTATCGAGTGATGACACTATAGATCTGTCGTCATTTCAGATGAAAATGACTTGTTGGCCGCTGGCATATTAACAATGAAATTCTGGGAAAATAATTTTAAGTCTTTATATTCCAATCCTTACTCCACCCTTCAATCGATAAATCACGTTTGACGGCAAAAAGACTTCGCAGTTGAACTACGTTACTTAGATAGTCATTAATATTTTGAAAATGGACATGGAATGCACAACTTCAATACAAGAAGCGGGCAGTATGCAAACTGCCCAAGCTTTTGGGTGGTATGCATACTGCCCAAGGGGTCGGGTAGTATGCATACTACCCGGGCGGTATGCATACTGCCCGGGCTGTTGGGTAGTTTGCATACTGCCCGGGTAGTTTGCATACTGCCCAAGTTAGCATATGACCCGTAACATATATATGTATGCTTTAGGTGTTTTCCGATTTCCATGAAGATAAAAGCCAGATTTTCCTTGAACGTCGTTACTTCACGGATCTCTAGCAGAAGGATTTATACAACCAAATGATGGCATTAGAGGACATTCTAAAACGTTTTAGGAATCAAACCTCTAGCGCGTTCATCCAAGCCGGACACTAAACCATTTCATATGAGCTGTGCAATGCGATTATTGCTACAAAATGACACAAATAGCGAGCATCAAAACACCTCTAATCGGTCTGATATAAATGAATAAAGCATAAAAAAGCATATCAATACATAACATTGCAATGTTATGTATTGATATGCTTTGTTATGCTCATTATGTCAATGCATTGACACAAATGAGAAGCGTCCTCGACCTTTACACTTACATCTTACCGTCAAAGACATCTCGACATCTGCCATTGACAGCCTCTGCACGGCTCCCACGCAATACTTGCATTTGCTGGCTGTAGAACGGTAGCCAGCTCGGTCTGTTGCATTCGCCGGTGATATGCTACGATAGGTGAGTTCTCAGAGAATGCATTATTCTTAGCATCAGCACAGCGTGCTACAAGGATGGCGTATTCGGTATTCCACGGCTTCTGTGCAAGATTTTGCCATTGTTCTACACATTGTGTGCGTATGGGTAACGATCAGATTGCATAATTAGCTGCAATGGCATGGTGTCATAAGGCATATTTCATGCCCTACAAGCAGAGAAATGAGCTTTATTGCTCTGTAAGCGTTGGCCATAACCTGCTGAAGGTGTTGCAAGTGTCCCCGATGCCAAATTGCAGAGCTGGCGCACGGTAAACGTTTTCTGAAATTACTTAGCGAAGGTAACAAACCAATTGTTTGACACCGAACCAACTAAAATATTTTCCAAGCGCTGCTTATTGCAAGAATCTGCCAATATCGGATTTTAAGGAGTAACCAATTCTCATTCTTTTGTCATCATGATGCCGTATTTCAGTAGCAGTTCAGTGACGGTTACACTCGCGAGTCACTCCACTACCGTTACCAAAGTCTGCAAGTGACCCACCCCTGCCGGCGTGACCCGTTACCCAACGGCGCCCTACGCGCGCCGCGTTTGTCACATTTGGCCGCGTCGCATTTGTCACATCTGGCCGCGCCGCGCCGCACACGACGTCGACACCCCCCCCAGTCATTGCCTGGGGGGGAGGGCGATGATGGCAATAGAAGGTGGGGTGCAGTTGAAGGGACACTGGCTTCGGGACATGGTGGGATGGCTTTTCTTGCGTGGTTTACCTAAGCGTGGTGAAAGATTGGTGTTCAGAATGACAAGCTGTTTGTTTTTGCATGTTACTAAGTAATTCTGGTGGCAAACAGTTACGTAATACTCATTATGATCGGGTTATTGTAATAATTGTAATAGTTACGTGATAGTAGTGTGTGATGGTTTTCTTCTTGGGCCAGTAGATAAGGGGTGATTAAAATAGATTAGTTACAGTGAGCTGAGTTTTCAGTAGCACCGCGTTATTTGATCCGCATAGCTATAATAACCCGGTTTGCAAATAGGGAAAGGGCTGCGCTAGAGTCCGGTCTTAATGTCACTACCGGTGACACGAGCAAATGGTAGTTAGACAGGCCCGATTTCTGTCTATTCTGTCAATGCAATTCTCTTATATCTCGCTCCACCTTCTCTTTCTCTCGAGTGTCGCTCATCTCCCTCTCATTCCCAACCCACTTCTCTCTCTCTCTCTCTCTCTCTCTCTCTCTCTCTCTCTCTCTCTCTCTCTCTCTCTCTCTCTCTCTCTCTCTCTCTCTCTCTCTCTCTCTCTCTCTCTCTCTCTCTCTCTTCCTCTTCCTCTTCCTGTCACTCTTCCTGTCAAGTGACAATGCCCAACCACACCCGGGACGTTCACAGCTCAGGCACCGGATCCCATTTGTGGGCACGGTGATGGCACGGTAGCTGGCTCCAAATGGATCCACACACCCAGTATTAGACGCGCTGTCTGAATCTAGGCAGCGTGGCACGGCTGGCTGTCTAAAAGACGGACAACGCTGCTGTGAGAGGGTGTCTACTGTCTGATCTACTGATAGGCAAATGACGTGATAAGGTAAATGATGTCATGCATCGTTATAAGAGAGCAATCGTAAATTTTTGGGATGCGATAAGGAGCACACTAGGCGGAGCACTTGCAACCGTGTATTATTTGCCAGACGATTTGTAATTTGTATGTTTGGGCCAATTAAGTATAAATTTGCCTTTTTATTTTGTTGGTGTAAATTGGGGAAATAATGAGAGAGAAAAGGCTTTATAGACAATACGGGCGACCTATTGCGTGCTAAGCGCAAACCGTATTTGAGAAGCAAGAAACGCTCTCAACCAGTGGGCAACCACTTCAACGAATGACCAGCAGTGTCAATATTTATGCAGATTATTGCCTATTCAGTCTTCATTCATACACTTGCTTCCAGCTAACAAACGACCTGTTTGGCCATTTCGCTGAACGAGCGATGGAAGCTGTTTGGCACAGGTCAATGTTGAACCGAAAACGTGTTTGGTACATGTCACGCCCCACCGTCAAAAATTAGTCATATATGTAAGTTAATGAAATCCATTTAGCATTAGGGTGGTTCCACGTATGGATCTTAATACGAATGTTTCCCGTACGCGATGAATATGAACAAGCATAATATTCGCCATAACAATGTTGGATTTGTTCCAACTTTTCATGTGATCACCATGGTGTCAATGAATGGTAGCATATCCATTGCTTAGGAGTGGTGTGTACAGCGTACATTTTACTCGCCCAAGGCCATGTTCGCCAAAGGGTGACCTCAGTGCCTGCCGGGCTGGGTGAGCTGGGTCACCACCCGCCACCCGTGACCTGTCCCCCCTCCCCCCTCATTGCAACAGCGTTTGGCGTCAGTTTCATAAACCATAAAACAGCCGTCATCCCAAAAATGGCGCGTGAGGTAACAGACTCCGCGCCTGCGCGCGAGCGCGCGTAACGGCCTCGTATGGCGCGACTCAGCGGGACGGTACAAACCCGAGGGAGGGGGGGGGGGGTCACTGGGGGGGGGGCAGGTGAGCAGTAGCATTTAGCCGTGTGATTGTGCTTCACTTCTAAGAACGGTCAACTTCAGCACTGTAGAACAATGAACAACCATCCAACCAACCAAATGTAACTAGTCATTCTAATGCCTGAGGTCATGCATTTTGCCGACCTACAAGAATATCGAAAACGAGGCGTCATACAGTTTCCATTTAAGCCCACGCTCGACTCCTCACCGAAGCAGCATGTTTAATGTCCATCACATTTAGCCAGGTTATTGGACCGTTATCATGTTATCAGACAGCCTGGTCGCACCACATCTCCTGCGATTATCTGCTTGGCTGGCGCTGCCTGTTGATACCCCAAATCGTCACGAGTTGTCGCCTCTGTCACCAATCCGTGAACCGTGAGGACGGCCAGTGTGTATCACGTTACTGATCCGTGTGTAAGGCGTTGATCCGTGAGAAGCGGTCACGGTTCATAACGCGGGAGGTCACGAACCGTTCAGGTGACAGCGCTGCGGGCGTATAGGTACACACTGCTGAAAGTCACACATAGGACCATGGAATGGGTGTTCACTGTCAATGGTGTGGGACATTGCATGGCGCCCCAAGGTCAGCCCGCCGCCGATCAATGCGACAGTCATCAATAAGCTCTTATTTCTTTATGTTATAAAATGGCTATCATGGTAAGGATCATAAGCATTTTGGTTTCTCACCTTTCATGCCGGTGGCAAGAGATAAACCACGAAACTACTGGGAACAAATCGTTACGATCAACCGTCATGATTTCATATAACAGTCGCAGCGGAGCCGATTTCAGGTACAGTTTTTTTGCTGTCGCTGGAAGGCAATTATGGAGTGCAAAATGGAGACGTAAACAAGGAACAAGGCAAACTGCCTAAATGGTTGGGAGAGAGTCTGGCATACCATTTCCCACTTAACAACTACATTGTAAAGTAAGGCACTTCGAAATGTTTATTGTTTACGAGTTAGATCTTTGTTTCCTGGTGATAGGTACATCAACTCGTCCAATCTACATAGCAGTACGACTTATTACCAAATTAGTAAAGCTGCTAAGCTAGCGCCAACGAACATCCTTCCAGCCAACTAAAAGGCTTCGCTCTTTTACTCGTAGCTGTAGACCACAGAACATCGCGCCGAATTCAAACTGCAAGTAATGAAAGGTCATCCAAGGTCCTGTCAATCATACCCCAAATCTGCACCAGTCTCCTTGCTTACAATATACCATTCCCCGTGACACCGTCACCGTGTCCGTGACGCGTGACGTGAGCACGTCACTCTGCGGCGCCGTGACGGTCCGGGCACACACCGGGCCCGGCTCGCCAATCTGGGAGCTCCACTGCACGGTCCACCCATTGTGACTGAGAGTGAAAGGCCACGGGGGTTACCGGAGCGCGGGGAGAGTATAAGGCGGTGATGGAGCCGAGAGTGACCAGAGAGACACCCAGGGCGGTCGTGGTTGGACGTTGGAAGAGGAACGGAGCTGTGGATATGAAGGTGAGAATGGGATAGTGGCTGGTGGGAAGAAGGCTGGTGTCAGTCGTATGAGTCATTCTCGAAGTGTTTTGTTTATTCATCATTCATTATTAAGTGCCTCTGGTTTTGATTGCTTGTGCTGTAAAATGTATTCATTTCTGAACTATCAGCCCAGTACACTGGTAAACTCACAACCGCTCCTGTCCGTCTTAAAATCCAGTCTGTTTGCTCACAGGCCACAGCCCCCCTCTACTCGTTTGTCGTTCTGCCCACCTGAAGTTCTCATTAGTTTTATTAGCGTGCCAACGTTTTTCCCCATTTAGAATCCAACTCTTTCCGCGCATTTAAAATCATTCAGCACCGTCTATTATCCACACCCCCGCTCTGAACAGGTTTCGATCTATTTCACGGTGATTCACCGTTTTGTAAGTTTCCCTTTTAACCACCACACCACACGTTTGTTTTCAGCCCATTATCTTGCTGAGCCTGCTGGCGGCTGCAGTCGCAGTCCCCGTCAAAGAGGAGGCCGATGCAGTCCCGGCTGCGTCCAGCAGGAGTTCTGGTGAGATCTCGATATCAAACTGCTTATCAAGACATTATGGAAAGTTATTGAGAGCGTTGCCATGCTGGCAATTGTATTTGACCACCGACAAAAATTGTTTCAGAAAAAGGGTATTTGCTGTGCCTTGTTGTCACTTACATGTACATATGCTTCTTTCATATCAGTTGCGTAAAAGTTCCATAATTATTTGATAACCCCACTTATGCAATCAGTGACATAATTTGATACGTATATTAATCTATCTAAGTACACTAGACGTTCTACGAAGCAAAACATCGCTAAGAAAAAAGAAATGAAGGAACGGCAACCGTAAACCGATCACATCCAATGCATTGTTAATCGTTTGTGTATGGCTTTCTGCCTCCAATATTGCTATTGATTACAATTGTCAGATATCTAGAAAAGCACTAATTGCTCTTTTGAATAGGCAATGAGCCGGTCTTACATAACGATGTTCACTACAGTAGGTCGTGCTAGGAGCTATAGCTAATACGCAACAAGGTTAGTATACTACACATTAATGCCGTTTAGAATAGCCCTAGTGTAGTCGTATAATCAAGTCTAACTATCCATTCCAGTCTCGGAGTCTGCTGATCTGGGCCAGGAGGAGGGCTGGTCGCCACTCGACCTGAACCGTGTATCTCGGGCCCACGACTCTGAGGAACAGACCCTGAGTCGCAGTCTGGACGTCATCGAGCCCTCTGAGCTCTCTGCCGAGGACGCCGGTTCCTCCGAGGACACCGAGGACAGTGCCGCCTCCGCCGAGGACGGTAAGACCTCCAACTCGTACCTCTCGCCCCTCTACGCTCCGGCTCCGGGCGGCTACGGCTCCGGCTCCGGCTCCGGCTACGGGTACGGTCCATCCATCTACATCCTACCGATCGTGCTGCCGCCGCCGGGAGGTCACGGCGGTCACCCGGTGGGCCGGCACGTGGTGACCGAGACGGGACACCACGAGAGCCACCACTTCAGCGGCGACTACCGGCCCGTGTACGCCGGGTCATATGGGGGTGAGGCATGAAACGGGGATAGAGGGACGACCGTCGGACGAGGGACGGGGATAGGGGATAGAGGGTCTACGCACAAGTAAGGAACCTAACTAGAGTAGTGGGACTAGACGGGCCCTCTACGTCGGCTAGCACGGCATGCAGGCTAGAAACTGCGTGGATACGGTAGTAAAAGAAAAAATCAATGGACAGGTAATCAATGGTTTCTCGGACCGGCATTTAAGCGCCGAGAGGCTTGCCAGAGGGCCCGGGAAGGGTTGGAGTCCACCCAGACGAGTTAGATATGCGAGTGCGGCTCGTGCTAACCAGTAGGTCTGGTAACGAAACTACCTAACTCCTATCTATAACATTTTTCTCGTCTACCAAAGCCCCATTTTCTGAAGCAGCGTCTCGCTTTTGTTCCAGTTCCCCCGATCTACATTCCCAAGGAGTACGGTGTGTACCACGGCGGACACGGAGCACACCCCGTGGGACACCCTGTAGGACACCCCGTGGGACACACCACGGTCCACCACGAGGACAAGACCATCATCCGCGACATCAAGCCGCCAGTCTTCAAGGCCTGAGTGGACAATGAGTCTTCCCGACCCGCCAGTCTTCAAGGCCTGAGTGGGACGAGTCTACCGTCTTCTGATGCTAGTAGAACCTACCAGCTAGCATCTACCAGAATGACGGGAGTATAAAACCAAAGACGGGTAGGTATAGAGCGGAGAGAAGCTAGCGAGAAATGGAAACTAGGCAATAACCAAACCCGTGAAATGAATGCTACTGCATGCAGAAAGCGTTACGGTAGGCGAGTATGAACTATTGTTAGAAGATAGTCACCTCATAAGGATTGTCATGCCGCTTTTGTTGTTGTGAATGTCGGCAGTCGCTACCATTTCGTTTTCTTGCGTTGACTGAAGTCGCAATGCAGAACGTCTTTCATGGTATCTGTCTTTCATGTCTTGTATTGTGTTGGTGTAGCTAAACGTGAGTAGAATTACAGCTTCTGAGCTGTCTTGGCGTAGTTTTAGTCCATGCTGTTGTCATTTGTTCAATAAATGTTTTTTTTTATAATAAGTACTAGAGGGACAGCATTACGCGCAGCGTAAAGAGGGACAGCATTACGCACAGCGTTATGAATCAATTTTTAATAAAATCGGCCCAGTAGCGGCCGAGTTATGGCCAGAATAAATTTGGCATCTCCTCTTGGCCGGCGGTGCCCTGTTCCGGTATTCATTGCCAAAGGTCAACGACCTGCCGGCTCTGATTTCGCTCAGTTTTGAAAGCGAACAATCTGAGCCTAAGGCGCGTGCCGTCTGCTCGGCGCCGGCCGCGGCCCAAAATGCTGCAAAGATGCGCCCGCCACGTGCAAACCGGCGAGCGCACCCCCACCAAAATTTAATACGACAAACAGATGCACGCGTCCGACTTGAGCCCAAAATTCCACCCCCTTAGCCCGCACCGTTCCGGAGCAATAGCCCGCCAAGCGTGACTGACGCGTTACATACATACATACGTACAGACATTTTGATTTTTATATATGTAACTAGAGGGACAGCATTACGCGCAGCATAATGAATCAATTTTCATTCAAATCGGCCCAGTAGCGGCCGAGTTATGGCCAGAATAAATTTGGCGTCTCCTCCTGGCCGGCGGTGCTCTGTTCCGGTATTCATTGCCAAAGGTCAGTGACCTGCCGACTCTGTTTTCCCTCATTTACGCAGCGAACAATCTGAGCCTAGGGCGCGTGCCGTCTGCTCGGCGCCGGCCGCGGCCCAAAATCCCACAAAGATGCGCCCGCCACGTGCAAACCACCGAACCCACCCCCACCAAAATTTAATACGACAAACAGATGCACGCGTCCGACTTAAGTCCAAAATTTCACCCCCGTAGCCCGCACCGTTCCGGAGCAATAACCCGCCAAGCGTGACTGACGCGTTACATACATACATACATACATACATACGTACAGACGTTTTGATTTTTATATATGGGACTAGAGGGACAGCATTACGCGCAGCGTAACAAATCAATTTTCAATAAAATCGGCCGAGTAGCGGCCGAGATATTGCCAGAATAAATTTGGCATCTCCTCCTGGCCGGCGGTGCCCTGTTCCGGTATTCATTGCCAAAGGTCAGTGACCTTCCGGCTCTGATTTCGCTCAGTTTTGCAGCGAAGAAACTGAGCCTACGGCGCGTGCTCTCTGATCGGCGCCGGCCGCGGCCCAAAATCCCGCAAAGATGCGCCCGCCACGTGCACACCGCTGCACGCACCCCCTCGAAAAGTTGATACGACAAACAGATGCACGCGTCCGACTTGCGCCCAAAATTTCACCCCCGTAGCCCGCACCGTCGCCTCGCAACAGCCCGCCAAGCGTGACTGACGCGTTACATACATACATACGTACAGACATTTTGATTTTTATATATGTAATTGCGTAGCTCACCGTTGCCTCATATGGCGGGGCATAGGCGCGGGAGCCGGGGGGGCAGTGGGGGCAGCTTGCCCCCCCAACTCTGGGGCCGTGGGGGCGGTGCCCCCACAGCTTTGAGACGGAATACCACACTTTTTTTGCAAATGTTTTCTTTTTTTGTTGAAAAAGCCGAGGGGTGAAAAATAAGTGGCCTAAAACCGGTGAGAAAACTAGATTTGGGGGTACCCTAGGTTAATCTCTATTATGGTGTGCCCCCCCCCCCAGTCGGAAAGTAGTTCCCGCGCCCCTGTGGCGGGGTCCACCGATGAAAGTAGCCGGCAGAACGACTCGTCTCCCGACGACCGGTACACCAGCCTGCTGACGTCCCTCCTCGGGCTGCTCCTGCTGGCCGAGCTCCGCGTCAGCCGCCACGGCGTCACGGACGCTCTGGTAGAGGTCCGCCCGGATCTCGCGCTGGTGAGTGGAGATGTACTTCAGCCGGATGGCCTCGACCTTGGCGTAGGCCATACAGACAAACTCTTGAAACAGGCGACCGGCGCGGTGGAGGCTGTCGTCCTGGTGGGGCCTGATCTGGAGCCGGTACGCGTAAAACTGGAGCGTTGTCACCATTCGCTGCCGCTCCCTGCCGGGCTGCGGCGCCTGAGCAATCGCCGGGTGCCACCCTGTAGTCCCCAGTGGAAACAGGAGGACGAAATGGAGTGGGTCACACGCTCGGTGGCTCTCATCGATGGTCTGCAGCACGCCGGTCCCGCCATCAGCTCGGCGGCGCAGTACCAGGTCGTGCTGTCCGGGCTCCTCTCCCATGAGGACCGCCACCTCGCGCAGTCCCTCGGCGGCGTTGTAGCGGCGCGCGTGCTCGCCGGCGGGTCGGGCTGCAACGCTGATGATCAGCTGCCGGTGTTCCACCTCCCGTGCCAGGACCTCGGCAGCCATGATGAAATCGTGCACCCAGGGGTTGACTTGGCGCAGCATGGCCTGAAGCTGTCCCAGCAGGTCCAGCAGCCGGTGCTGCACGGCGGCAGAGGTCGCTGCCGGCAGGCGCACATGACCGAGTCGAATGGCCGCTTCAGCCTCCGGATCTTCGGCCAGCGGGTCACTGATGTATATCTGGGCGAAGGAGGGTGGCCGGTCTTCAGGGACTTCCAGCGGCCCAAGTCGGTGGTACAGCCGCCCCTGCACCACCACACACGGTGCGTACCCGCCGGTGCCTGCAGGCGGCGGCACCTCACGCACGGACAAAGACGATAGGGCCAGCGCTGAGTTGAGGTGCCGGACGTACTGCCGGAAGGTGCGCGCCTCTAAGGTGTCATCAGTCCAAAGGCGGCGTAAGACTGGCGGCGGGGCCGGGAGCGGGTCAAGGCGGACCTTGCCGCCTGCACAGCAGAACGTGGCGCGCTCACCCGCCCACCGCAGGGCTCCGCACGACGCACACACTTTCACCATCGCACCGACATCATCGGCCTCCACCACCTGCTCGCCGGACAAAACGTCCGCCGGTCGGCGGGCCGCAAGCGAGGCTGGCCTCGCACGGGCGGCAGCGCGCTGCTGCTGATGGCGCCGGGCGTCTTCAGCACGCTGAGCGTGCCTGGCGTCCTCGTCCTGTTCCTCGCGATGTTGACGGACGCGCGCCGCGGTGGCCTCACGCTCGGCCTGCGTCGCTTCCTCCTCATGCGCCTCGCGCTGCAGGCGGAGGCGCTCAGCGTTGGCCTCCAACTCCGCCCGCCTGGCCTCTTCATCTTGCGCCGCTCGCTGCAGGCGGAGGCGCTCAGCGTTGGCCTCCAACTCCGCCCGCCTGGCCTCTTCATCTTGCGCCGCTCGCTGCAGGCGGAGGCGCTCAGCGTTGGCCTCCAACTCCGCCCGCCTGGCCTCTTCATCTTGCGCCGCTCGCTGCAGGCGGAGGCGCTCAGCGTTGGCCTCCAACTCCGCCCGCCTGGCCTCTTCATCTTGCGCCGCTCGCTGCTGGCGGAGGCGCTCAGCGTTGGCCTCCAACTCCTCCCGCCTGGCCTCTTCATCTTGCGCCGCTCGCTGCAGGCGGAGGCGCTCAGCGTTGGCCTCCAACTCCGCCCGCCTGGCCTCTTCATCTTGCGCCGCTCGCTGCTGGCGGAGGCGCTCAGCGTTGGCCTCCAACTCCGCCCGCCTAGCTCCCTCCTCCTGTGCGGCTCGGAACGCGCGCTGCCTCTCGGCGTTGAGCTGTCGCACCCGGTCGTCGTCCGCGCGCTCCCGCTGGCGAGCGGCCTCGGCCTCCCTCACCGCCTCCCTCTGCCGGCGCGCTCGCTGCTGGGCCGCGTTCCGTTCGGCCTCAGCTTGTCGCTCCGCCTCGGCCATACGGGCCCGACGACGGCGCTGGGCCGCTGCGTTAGCGGACACCGCCCGACGCATGACAATCACGTAATCGGGTACATTTACGGAATATGCAACAAAAACGAACTACTTACAACACTTGAAAACAAAACACTTATTACTCTTTGGATAAATATCCTGGTCTAATCTATAGACTAAAATACGCCATCGTTGTTTACATTCATATTTGCCGCGCTACCAAGACAATCAAGAGCTTTTTTCTAATTCCGACCCCCAACAGACACGATATGGTCTGAGCACAGAATCTGGTAGCATCACGTGACTTGATTAGGACAGTTTATTGATATTTTATTGTGAAATTACCCAAATACTGCTTGCGTTGCCACTCAAAATACACTTTGAACTTTTTATTATTTTGGTTGGGTGAAAACATTGCAAAACACAAAATTCATCAGAATAGTCATGTGAGTGTTGAGAAATGTCACATGCGCGTCAGATCTGTAAAGTGGGCTTATCTCAAAGATCCGATCTACCTGTTTCTTAAAGGCATCTTATTTCATGACGGGAAGAAATATCATTTTCGCAGCGAAGAATCTGAGCCTAGGGCACGTGCTCACTGCTCGGCGCCGGCCGCGGCCCAAAATCCCGCAAAGATGCGACCGCCACGTGCAAACCACCGAACCCACCCCCACCAAAATTTAATACGACAAACAGATGCACGCGTCTGACTTATGTCCAAAATTCCACCCCCGTAGCTCGCACCGTTCCGGAGCAATAGCCCGCCAAGCGTGACTGACGCGTTACATACATACATACATACATACATACATACGTACAGACGTTTTGATTTTTATATAAGTGAACTAGAGGGACAGCATTACGCGCAGCGTAATAAACCAAGTTTCAATAAAATCGGCCCATTAGTGGCCGAGTTATGGCCAGAATGAATTTAGCGCCTCCTCCTGGCCGGCGGTGCCCTGTTCCAGTATTCATTGCCAAAGGTCAGTGACCTGCCGGCTCTGATTTCCCTCAGTTTTGCAGCGAAGAAACTGAGGATAATGCGCGTGCCGTCTGCTCGGCGCCGGCCGCGGCCCGAAATGCTGCAAAGATGCGCCCGCCACGTGCAAACCGGCGAGCGCACCCCCTCCAAAATTTAATACAACAAACAGATGCACGCGTCCGACTTACGTCGAAAATTTCACCCCCGTAGCCCGCACCGTTCCAGAGCAATAGCCCGCCAAGCGTGACTGACGCGTCACATACATACGTACATACATACATACATACATACGGACGTTTTGATTTTTATATATGGGATTATCGCTCACAAAAATCTCTGCAACTTAAGAAAAAAGGTCACTTAACAAAGTAACTAACGCGTCGTACTTTTTGCCACACAATGATTTGAGCGTTGAAATTGAAATGCTGAAACGCAAATATTTTAGCTTCAGCAGTTTATTAAAAGCTTTAAAAAAAGCCAGCAAAATGAGACAAGCACTAGTGCCTTTGCACTGCGTGAGACACATCGAGTGACCAGTACGATACACGGCGCTGTAACCTTAACAGCATTACCACAACAGATCGTATTCCACGATCTAAGCCAGTCAGCCTAGTGGCTAATACAACGAAGAAACCCATCAATATCCACAACAAATGACAGATTCTCTATTGGGAGGCGTGCTCAACACTAACGTAAAAATCACACGGGTTTAAAACCCACACAGCAGGGCAAGGTCAACGGCCAATACCATGATTGTTGATCAATCACGGCCAGATCCTGATTCGATTCATAGCAAACACAGCGAAACGTGCAAAACGGTGTCCAAAACACTCAATACATAATCATACACTGTTACCAGAAGCATGGCAGGATCCCAGTATGTGCAGTGACGTACACGCCTAAAAAAATATCGATCTTCTCTCATGTTGGCAGTACTGCTAAATGCCTATCTGCCAGCTTACCGCTTTACTCAACATTGAACAACATCTATGAACTCAGTCACAAGCCACACTCGGCAGTTCACGGAAAACTGCTATCTCAGTTTTCTGTAATCGTTCGTTTCAACCATCTCCTCGCGTCTCAATACTCAGGTATCTTTCTTGGAGGGGGATTGATATGTCTGGGCTGCGGATGTTCAGCTCTCTGGCACAAGCTCTACACGCTTTATATCCCCTCCCCTCCCTCCCTCTCTTCCTCCCCATCTCAACTTGAACTGTCTACCGCCACCTCCACCGGCCTCAACACAAACATCCTCACCTCATACAGTCCCCTGGGCATCCCGTTCTGTTTTCTTGTCGAACTGATGCTCAGACCGGCCCTCTCGAAGATGGCTTCCAGTAGCGCGCGAGGACGGGTCACGCTAGAGTCTGTAGCGTCGTATTCCGGCTCCGAGCCTGATGCCAGGTTCTCTTTGACAATGATGACCCCATTGGGACGAAGGCCGCGTCTGAAAACGGGAGGAATTGAATGTAAGATGGGTCTCACAGGGCAACGACGCACGGTGGTTTGCATTACGTCGATTTTAGTGGAAAATTATTTTGGATTTCGAACATCAATGACATATTTTGGTATCAATATATCATGATTGATTTTGAATTGTTATACGAGGCACACGATGGACAAAGTTCCATTGCTACAACGGAACCCCGTCGTGTATTCATTGGCAGTTCGTTGCTCTCATGACGTCACACTTCACTGCGTCAATTTGTGACGTCACACTTGGTATGCCAACGGAGGGCACACGTAAAACTTCATGACGTCATGTTTAAGGACGTTAATTTGTGACGTCACATTTCGTACTCCAATGGACAGCACACAACAGAGAATTAACGTGCAAACCCAGAGACCGAACCGAAAATCCACAGCCGCCGCGGGGCAATAAAAGCTACCAATTACCCTCCAACAGTCAACAAACACTTCAGGCCCATTCACTGGCAGATTAATGCAGCCACCCAATGAAAAACTACTACTAATCACTGTTTGCCGAGTCAATACCCCACGACTGCGAGTGGGTGGGGCGCGACAGAAGGTCACGGAGCGTTTTGGCGACTGCTTTTACCACTGACCGTGGCGCGGCTAACGAGGCGGGTGACGGCACAAACGGCTTTGGATACTGAGCAGCTAAACTAGAGCCCTCGCCCCAGGGCTGCGGAGTCGGAGTCGGAGTCGGAGTCGGAGTCGGTCGGAGTCGACAGTTGTGACCGGAGTCGGAGTCGGAGTCGATTTTAGAAACCCGAGCCGGAGTCGGAGTCGGAGTCACCGAAAATCTGTCGACTCCGCAGCCCTGCTAGGTCTGCGGAGTCGGAGTCGGGAGTTGGAGTCGGTCGGAGTCGACAATTCTGCCCGGAGTCGGAGCTGGTTTTTGAAAGCCGGAGTCGGAGTCGGAGTCGGAGTCGCCGAAAATCCATCGACTCCGCAGCCCTGCCTCGCCCCCTATAACACGGCCCTCGGTCATTGGGTACGTGGTGAGGTCAACGTGGGCGCGTAAAAAGGTAGCCTTGAACTTTGAAATTGCGTGGGTCGAAGCAGCGAACTGTTACGGCGAAGGTCAAACGTGAAAAACGACGGGCAGACATGGTCGACCATAAGGAAAATAATGTCTGCTATGTAGAAGTTTTCAATATTCCACGTCGCCTGCCCAAATCCTGACAAGATGCACCACGATTTGTTGCATCGAGTATCTACTTAATATCGGCTATGTTGGCGTTTATGTGAGGTTAACCCATTCCTCGGCTCTACTCACGCGCATCTGGTGAAGAACTGGACCAGGTCGTCATCAGTGAGGTGTCCCAGCACCCACTGACACCAGATGACATCATAGAAGTCGGGCTGAGGGGTGAACTCCTGCAGGCCTGAAACACGGGCGCGGCGGTGTGTGAGAGCTGAGTGAATCGTTTCCCTTTTTTATTGGAAAAAATTGTCACGTTTACCAGCATGGAGATGAGCTGTCAATATCTTTTGTACATAGTTCTAACAGTTTCAAGTAAACCTGTTCTGTTTTATTTGAGAGAATGAATGATATGATGAAAGAACGTATTAAAGGAAGGGTGCCACCTTTTGGACACAACGCAGTTTTTACAAGATTAGCCTCACATGAACCTAAAAACCGGCTTCACTTACCTATGCTCGAGACGGTCAGCATTGAATCCGCACGTGAAGTTATCATTTGCGAGTTTTGCTGCCAGCATTCGGGCAGGCAAAAATCTTCAGCACTATTTCCTCGTCGTGTTAAGGGTATTTTATAAAACATGAAATCAGCAAAGGTATGTATAAAAGTTATACTTTTGAAGCATGTTTTATCATTTTGAAAGGGTATATTTTTTCTTTATGGTATACACTTAAGTTTTAAAATTTTAATTGGGAAGTTTTTCTAGTAAGTTGCATGAAGGGTGAAGGGTTCCATAGATCTCTTAAGCATTGTAAAGGAAAAACCTTTACTCGACTTATTTGATGTTCTTTTGACGTGGCAAATATGGCCAACAGTTACCTACTTGGTTACCTACAACTTAGTTCAAATCATGTTATCTTCTTCCTTTTTATTTGTTCATCTTTTTGTCTCAGTTGCGCCATCAATGCAAATGGCAGAATGATATGTTGCCATGACAACAGGATATGCCAGCCGTCCTAGCTGCCACATCAAACGACCTTGAGTTGTAGTGGTGATATAAACAACGATCTTTTTTTTTGGCCAATGTATTAAATGCAATGTTTCGGTTTTTTGTATATTGTGGACGCGCTAACCACGTCTAAAAATTCAAATAAGTAAAATAGATTCATAGAACAAAAATTTCGGAAGGTGGCACCCTTCCTTTAAGAAGCATGAACATCGCACAGGTATTCAGCAACTTATCAAGCTAGATCAATATCAATCTAGTGCTCGAAAATAAGATGTGATTGAAACACTCCTGTTAAAATCGCGCTGAATTTACCTGCACAGTAGATTTCTCCAACATGCGGGTTGTCAGCCAGCGCCGTCCGCGCCGCCTCGACGAACTTGGCGCACTGCTCGACGGCGTCGACCGTCTGGAACCTTCTGCTGAGCAGGAGACGCGTGATGCGTCCGATCCCGGCGCCGCAGTCCAGCGCGCGCTCCCGGCCCGGAGCATTCGGACGCTGTAAAACGGACAAAGTGGAAATATTGAAAAGGGTCAAATAAACAAACTAGGCATGACAGTCCAGTTCATTGATTAGTTTAGAATAATGTGATATAAGCTGGCAGTAGGAAGCTATTGAAGCAAAAACGAGAGTGCAGAAAAATGTGACAAAAATGCAATTGCAAATCATTTTTGAAAAAAAAAAGAATGACAGAAAATCACAAATGGATATCGTATCAGGTATCTTGCTGTCAACTAAAAAATAGAATCAGAAAATTATTGACCATCATATTCTTTCTTGCTTTTTGCATCATTAAAAACCTTTTTTACCACAGCGAGCCATTGCCAGATTGGTGGGTGTTGGAAATGCCTCACCACTTTCATTATCCGGGTGACCAAGTCTGACGCACAGCACAATCATTGCCACTGATTGTAGGCCATCCCAGTAAGAATTCATTAACAAGCAATGGCAAACAGTAAGAAGAAAATCAACCCAGTCCAATCCCCAGCAAGGAGAACTTCCTTTTGTACAATTTACCTTCCAGATAGCTGTAAGCAGTTCATCTGATGTCCTGATGTCCAGGCTGGAGACCTGACCCAGTCCCCCCAGCATCCCGTTCACCGAGGCAGGCACGCCGTCCCAGTAGCTGGCTGCCTTGGAGTAGCTTATCAGGCTGTTTGGGTCTGGCGATGATGGGGTTTCGCCATCTGAGCCCTCGGAGGTGGCTGGCATTGCTGAGTCCTGACTGGACTCAGTGCAGCTGATGCAGCTTATTTCCTCACTCAGCTGGCTCATTGTTGGAGCTGTGCTGCAATTATAACATTATTGTTGGTCAGCATCGACGTGGAATTGTATGGAAAAATCATGTGGTTCAGATGCTCCAAACAGCAGGACACTCAATCACAAAAACACTTCATATGTACAACCAGAATTTAGCATAGATGAGAAAACCATCGACTATCCGAGGATGTTCGAAATGTTAAATCAGTATTAAATCATGGATGAAGTATTCCTGGATAGGACACTCCCTATTCCCCAACACTAGCGCCGGCGACCAAGCGGCCGCCCTGGTGGCGGAGCTCCGAAACATCGGCGGCGAGTGCGCCGGCGGCCGCCGCACCGGCTTGCGTGCTAAAAACGCGGTAATGGAGGGCGAAATTAGCGAACTTTAGCTCATAAGACACAATTTCAGACACTTAAAACATAATTTCTAGTCCTTTCTTATCATTATTATGGCTCCATTTAGTCACTATCACATACGGAATCATTACCTGATGCCCATAAACTGAGCCGGTATTCTCGACTTGCCGATGCAATTTATCATCAAATATCATCGTTCCTCGGCAGTCGAACAAGTTCCTATTGATGATTTAATACAAATATTAACTTATTTTCATGTTATCGCATAAAACTTGACTTTATTCCAACATTGGCTCTTCGGCTGTAATCACGAACCCTCACTTGTCAGCAGAATTTAAGCAACTTCTTAAATCAAAACTGGGAAAATAATATTTCCATGACATTCCTCAATACCTGTTCTACCTGGTTCACAAAAATTTTCATCAAAATCGGTTATGGGTAAGTAATAAACGACAAAAGTATACAAAAAGGCACGCTCCGCCCATAGCCCGCAATGCTAAAATGACGCCAGCGCCCTCGCCGTCGGGAAATCCGCCGCCGCCGCCGGGTGGTCGGAAAATCGGCGGAGTGTCCGATCCAGGAATACCTAATCCATGATTAAATGAAATATCATTCTTGAAGGTCTACTACCAAATACCCACAATTCGGCTGAAATACAAAATGAAAAGCTGAAATAAGCACGTTAATCAAGAACATCAATATCCAGCAATTTAACAGCAAAATAGAAATAAATACCTATTGTTCATGTGCGGTACATTGTAATGTAAGGTGTTACGCCCACAAATTCCGTGAAAATGCCATAAATTTCTTTAAAATGCAAAATTTCCCACCTAATTCACACTTCAACTTGTTCCATACGGAAATGGCGGGATCCACAAATGACACTGCTGCGCCAACTTCGCTCTCTTGGTGAATTTTGCACTAAAATGCAGCAATAATTGTTTGCTGCTATTTTGCTCTTATTTCATAGCAAAAGTCATGTATTTCACAAATAAGTTAACGTGTGCAGAGTGCACTTAAAAGGAAAGCTCATCTGAGAGAACAATATTCAACCATATTATGTCATGGAAAACTGCCGCTTCTCGGTGCCGGACTGGCCGCTTGGAAACAAATCTACAGTGCTGAGTCATGCTTGATTGCTTATCCTGGCCTTCAAATTGGCCGATGTGGCCGAAGCACCGGGCGGATAAGGCCCATCAGTCCACTGTGTCCGCTGCGCTGGGTCTACACGCTGCTCCGCCTGTCTCCGCCGCTCCCGCAAACTTTAGCCGCCATGATTCTGTACTCGTTCTTCATGAGCTCGTGCTCGTGGCGTGTGCGAGTCGCTCTGCGTGCAAAAGGAATCGACTACGAATATCGTCCCATCAACCTCCTGAAAGGCGAGCAGCGCGGCGAGGAGTTTCTGAAGGTGAACCCCATGGGACAAGTCCCCACCTTCATCGACGGAGACCTGATGCTCACCCAGTCGATGGCTATACTGGAGTATCTGGAGGAACTCCAGCCCGAGCCGAGTCTTCTGCCGTCCGACCGCTCGCAGCGGGCCATCGTGCGTCAGATCTGTGAAATGATCAACGCGGGGATCCAGCCGGTGCAGTCTGGTGCCTACGCGCGGCTGGAGGCGGTCGGTGGAGAGGGTGCCGGCCTGGCCTGGGGTCAGGAGGCCATCGATAAGGGGTTCACGGCGCTGGAGGGGGTGCTGGCCAAGACTGCCGGGACGCACTGCGTGGGTGACGAGCTGACCCTCGCCGACTGCTGCCTGGTGCCGCAGGTGAGTCCAGAAACTGAACGGCTTCTCATTATTGTGTCCTTAGATAAAATGTATTTGTCGAATAGGTACCTACATTAAAAATGCCATAACTAAGTAATTGTATTTGATAGAGTCGGTTCTAGCTTCCGGAAATCTGCCGGTTTAGCGGCATCCGGTGAAACGATTCAAACTTATGAGTTAGTACCAGCAAAAGTTTATCTCGAGTATACGATCCAGTCTGGCTCACTGAAGACCTCATTTATGTCATCGGGAATTGGGCACTCTATATGTATTGTATACGTTCTCTCTTCTGAAGGTGACCGATTCAAAAGCTCGACTTTCTCCTCCTGACTTATGTGTCCCTTTTGTCCCCCAGGTGCTAAATGCCCAGCTGCGGTTCAAAGTGGACACCACCAAGTTTCCCATCATCACTCGCCTTCACAACTATCTCGTACAGAGGCCCGAGTTTGCCGATACCCACCCGGAGAAGATGGTGGATTGTCCTCCAGGGTTTATGGCCGGTATCGCGGCTAAAAATGCAGCGGAGAAGAGGTGAAGGGTGGAGGGGGAGATCTGCGGATGGGGAATGATGGTGAGGTGATGTGGGGGGGGGGGGAGACTTACGACCGATGGCGGATTGGGACTCAGTGACTGATAACTGAGAGCTGACGGTGACTGAGAGTTGTGACTGATGATTTCCCATACCTGCTACATTGCATGATTAAATCGAGACATCCAGGCATTTAAACGGCACGTGCACTGTACCACACTTTTCAAAGTTTAATGCAATGCTTTAATATTACAAGCCGTGTGGTTCAAGGGGTGTGGTTAAACACGCTGAACCACACGGCTGCTGACGTCACTATCATATAGTTGTGAGCTTTTTGGCAGGTATGGGAAACACCTTCCAGCCCTAAGGCCGGGAATTCAATAAATGTCACCTCGCTTTTTTAGCAAAATCACCTCGGGCCTAACGGCCCTCGGAGTTTTCGCTAAAAAACCTCGGTGACATTTATTGAATCATCCCGGCCCCGGGCAGGAATATATTATGTCGAACGGTGACAGACTGATGAGTGACATTCTCTGGCGAATAACTAGCTTTATGCTGTTGACTAATAAAGCACCATGACTTCCGTCAAGTTTACCGTTACTTGTACCTAATCGAGACTTGACTTAGACCCGTCTTTGACTGCGACTAGTGATGAACCGTTAATGACGATAATCTGAAGACCGAAAATGACTGACTCAGTGACAACTGCATCAACTCGCGACTGAGACCGCTGACTTGACGCCTGAAATAGTCGCGTGAGTTGAAGTTCAATGTTAGTTTTACGCTAGCTCTGCGAAGAACAAATAGATGCGAAGGTGAATGAACGATGAATTTCTGCCGAATCGTCATGATTCAGCAGTATGCTGGAAGCTATTGTGCATATCTACAAAGTCACGGTCAAATCTGTGCTGACTTGGCCACGACAGCGGCAGCATCTGGCTATTTATTTGCACGTTTTTTCTATTAATATGTCAACACAGGACGGCAAGCGTTTTTACAGCGATACATGACGATCATAATTGCTTCTTTAGTTTTGTTAAATATACTTTTATACTTTTAAACTTTTTGTCTTGAATAATGAAGAAACCAGAGGTTAAAACAATGAAAATAGTGATGCGCAAGGCCAGTAGCATAACTGAATTTCTGATCTACGAATAATGCATATGACCTTTGGAATGACAATAGTATTGTGATAGTGTTTGTGCATACGCGTCACGCTCGACATTTAGCCGATATGAGCTCATTTCTCTGCCAGCCGCCCTCCAAAGGTCAGCCCAATAATCAGTAGCAGCTCATCAGTGTGGATGTCACATAAACATTGCGGCTGCCACCTGACGGGGAGCCTGGCGAGTTCCGGATGGGATTCTGAGGGGATAGTAACCGTGACCCCACTTTTTGCACCTGGGAAAACGAGGAAGCACGATATCTGTCTTACTCGTCCTTCTACGATGCGATTTGTCGTTTGGTTTTAGTTTGTATTTTTTCATTTCGCCTGTTATGAAGTTACGGCAAAATTCAACTGTCCAAAAGTCAAGCGTTGCAGTATTTAGCATACCGCTACCCAAACAACTGCAATAAACTGGATCACGATTTTGTAGGTACCGCTGGAACTTCACACATAAGAGGATAAAGTGTGCCTTCCTGTGACTCCATGATCCATCTTATTACAATCATCCAGTGTCTACCCTGAGGGTAAGCTTCACATAATGGAAGCATAAAAGACCTCTGAAAACTGTGCCTGAATTGAGTTCACGACATTATCAAATGGGCAGCATAAATACTTGCAGCCCCAATAGCCGACGGAGGCGGCCGCACACTGGGCCATTCGGCGGGCGACATTCCGCAAAAACGCAATTCCGTGGCGACATTACGCTTTCGTGGACGCCGAATCAGCTGCCGAAACGACAAAATTATCAGCCGACCGCTGCCAGCTAGCTGTCCGCGTATAGAGTGCGCATGCGCGCGAACAGCCGCGGAGTTGCGGAAAAAGCTGGACCGGTTCAGCTTTTTCCGCGGCGAGGCCGCGGACACCCGAAATTGTGGAACTTGAAACTCGCCAACTATTTATGGAGCAGCCGAGAAATAGACTTCACTTGATAAAAAATCGTAGCGGCACTTCTTTCCCCATATTAAATGGTTTTTGTACACTTCATTGGTTATTCCAATAATGGGTTACTATGTGCCTCTCCACAATTGTCTTTAGGTTTCTTACATTTGTCGACAAACACGGTTGTTTACATTAATCACGAGCTTTATTTTTTTGCAACTTCCTCCAGAAATTATGTCAAATTAATGGATATTCAAAACTTTATTGTACAGAAATATAGCATAATCGCATTAAATAAGCAAATATTGTATTTGCTTAAATGTATTTAGTTTGCATTCGTTTCTATTTATCATAAAATGTTTCACATAAAGTTCCTGAAAATACTAAGTAGAAAATCGCACCGCCGAATGGTCCTGTAAACTGCTGAAAACAAGCGGAAAGCCGCTGTAGGAATGTCGCCCGCGACATTCCGCTTTTGTGGAATCTCGCCCGCCGAATGGCCCAGTGTGCGGCCGCCTTAATAACCCGCGCCCCGTAGGGCTACCGGCGGACCCTACCACCCGTAGGGGGGGGGGGCCGTTTCGGCCCCCCCCCCTAAGATCTCGGAAAGTTACCGGCCGATTTTCAAAATTCAAACGGCGTTTGATAGCCCTACCCGGGAACTACGTTGTGACCAAATTTCATTGACCTAGGTCAAACCGATGACGTCACAGGTCAGGTCAAAGGTCAGGTTTTCACCGTTCACAGGCAATTCAAGAAATGTGCTGTGAAATCGAGTAAATTGGTAATTTATTGAAAACCATCGATGGTATATTGTTCGTCAAACACATACTTTGCTATCTGAGGTCACTGATACCAGGTCAGGTCACAGCGAGGTCAGGTCACCGGGGGTCACAATATGAATGTGTCGTGTGATACATGTTTTATGGTCCATTTTACGTGACAAATGCGATTATGTGGGTTAGGCAGCCTTTGGGGCCAGCCTAGGTCACGTTTTGGTCAAGGTCAGGTCAAGGTCAGGTCAAATTAGGTCAAATTTCAAAGTTGATATTTTTGCATAAAATGGGTATCCATTCGATGCAGCTCGTCACGGGGAGTCTAATGGTGGTCTTTGTTTTGCTCTACGAGTTCTAGAATTGCCAAAAATTGAGTTTGAAAATTTGACGTCATCATTTTTGAACAGTTTTTTCTCTATAACTTGGCCAAAAAACGAGGTATCGATCTGAAATTTGGTATGTAGATAGAAGACGGTAGGTACTATCACATATATTCCGGTTTTTTCGAAACTCAAAATTTTTTTTGGATTTTTTGGCTAATATATCCAAAAAAATGCTTTTTTGATTTTTGGGGATCAAAACTCAAAAATTTCAAAAATCAGAGATAGCAGTTTTGTAGCCCTGTCAATTCTACACCTTTTATGTCTGATCATTTTTCTGTACCTTCAAAGCTGTAGGCCTGACAGGTCTTCTCGCGAAGGTCTTCTTTCGGTCGAAAATGACAGAACATGACGTCACTCTGACGTCATTTGTGGCCAACCTATCACAGCCTCTGGAAAAATTTTTGGTCACAATGTGTAAAATTAATGCCCGGAGGGGTCCTGAAAGTTTGGTGGCGATATCTCCAGCCGTTTAGGAGATATCGACCGAAAAGGACAGGGGGGGGGGCCGTTTCGGCCCCCCCCCTACGGGGCGCGGGTTAAGGCCTTCCGGTATATACCTACGACGTTGTTAGAGTGTGCTATGGTGTAATTAACACTTTTTCAATTATCATGTTTTGATAAATTCTCGCCACCGAGCGTAGCAATATCCATTATTTTCTCTCGTCTGCGACGGTATAAAGCAATGAATTTCATGAAATCAGGAATATTGAAACTGTTCTATATGCACGATCTAAGTAAATGTTCACGGATGTATTAAATGTAAATGGGTTAAAGGCGATAGAAAAAGGAGTTCAAGAGGAGGTATATACAGCCCACCGCTAAAGTAATGTAGAATTTTACCAATCTCACCTTTCCATGCTTCTATCCTCAGGATACTGAAATCCTTCTCCTCCACGCCGCAACCCCCCTCCGGGCTGGACAGGCAACTTTATCTCATGCGGGCTGCTCCCTTGGAGCGGCACCGCTGCTCCTGAGGGAGCGCACCCCGTAGCCGGGTGCAGTGAGTGCCTTGGGGCTGGGTGGCCTGTCCTCTGGACGGGCTCAGCCCCGGCGACTCACTATGGTGCCTGCCCAGACCAATGTCTCCCCCTATATCCTATCATCCTTCCGGCTCTGCAATGGTCTTGTCGACCGAAAGGGCCTAACCCAACAAAACAAACAAACAAAACCAATCTCAACGGTTGGCTTTGACTAGCGATTGTTTAATGCGGAGTGATCGAAAAGAAGATGTCAATAGCTAAAGTTGCAGCTGCAAGGGTGACGACTGACGATACATATAAGCTACATTCAAAGTTTCATTGTAGTCTGGCTAATCGTTCCTAAGCTTCAGAAGCAGAACATACCCATGACTGAAACCCCACATTACTTCTGCTGTGGACTGTAGGTACCATCGGCCGGATTCAGGCACACAGCAGATGTTTGTGTCCCTCTGATAAGTTTCAAATCATCACTCACGAGGACGGCACCAATTTTGACGAACGAATATCCTAAATATTGCTATATGATTGTTAATCGATTGTGTTCACCACGCAACTAAGTGTATGACCAATTCACAATACGATGTATGCCTATTGCCTACACCGACGAAATAATGAACCTTCGGTCTCATTTAAAGATTAAACGCGGTCAAGCAGCCACACTATACCTTAGAAGTCAATTATTCGGTGCCAATAATGTCCCGGCCGTGTCATTTGCTAGGCACGTCTGATAATCTCATCCGAGTTCATCACATATGCGTCACTTTGATAGGTCCATTACGACCGCTCGATTTTCCCTGGCGGCTGCCCATTTTACATTCAGTCAGAGCTATATGGTATCGATGATTAGTGTTTATCATAGGTAATAACCTTTCTTGGGGCGTCCGCGCAGCTCATAGCTCGGACTGCGCAGAGGTTAGAGGATAATGGGAAGGTCTGGACAGAGGCTAACAGAGGTAGCGAGGTCTCGAGGGTGGCTTGAAGAGGGGATTCGTGTCGGTATCGGCGGAGGAGAAGGACCTGGGACAGAGGCTCCGGCTGGATCGGCCGTCAAAGAAGAGGAGAGCTCACTCCAAGACGGGCAGTCAGGCAGACAGGCAAGACAGCAGATCCGCGGGGTTACTGAAGTTGACTGCCGTCAGCTGGCGGCAGTGTGAGGAAGGAGAGAATTATGAAGATCGCTGAACAACGTGACTTGATCGGTGTTGGAGGGTGAAAGGACCCACTATACCCAATCCAAGTCTTCTGAAGACAGCTATCTGAGTTGAAAAACCACAGCAAAAGAAGGGCGACGACGAGAAGCAGGCTGTGATTACAATCGGAGAGCGACCACATAAACAGCAGCTGAGCACTTCCGAAAATAATCACACCGTAGCTGGTATTCCTATTCCTTATCAACCATGATCACAGCTGAGGCTGACGGTATCGGTCGCCCCCGCGCTCTGGGCTCACGGGGCGGTCTACCGTACCGCCGCGGTGTCGGTCCCACTCCTCTGGAGGAGAAGGCACGCTCGGTGGAGAATGGAGCCGGTAAGGAGGGGATGGCCGGGCGGGTCGGCTGGCCGGCGCCGATCCATGTCGCTAACCCTCCCCGCGACAGTCTGGCTGGGATTATCGGTCTCTGGATGCGTTTCTGGAGTCGGGTTTGTCTCCTGGGAGTGCTCCAGTGCCCTCCATCCGGATGGGGTCGCCTCCCGTGGTTCCTGCTCCGCGCTGTACTGGCAGCTACTCTGATGACCCAGGCTGTGGCCTTTATCCGTACGCTCCCCAACTATCCAATTAGCTCGATTCTCTTCATGGCCATCCAGGCTTGCCAACACTTCAGCCTCCTCCAGTTTCTCCTTCCGGCTCTGTCTTTCCGCGCCGGAGCTTTCCCTCGCGCTCTCAACATCATGGCTCGTACCCAAGCCCTCCCCGTCTTCGCTGATCTCCGCCTCGAGCGTCCCAAATTCCGTCTGAAGCTGATCTACATCATCGCGGTCAAGACGTTCCTGTTTATGATCGTCCTGCACGTGGTGGGAGGCCTACTGGCGGTGCGTCATCAGCGGGAGATTGGTGACGACGTCAGCCGGTTCAGCCTGTTTCCCCCGGTGGTGAGAGCCGAGAGCGTGGTGGTGCACTCGCTGCTGGTGCTGCTGCAGGTGAGAATTGGTGAGAAGATAGTCTCACTGGATACAGGTTAGAGTGGGGAGCGGTGTCTGAGACACCTAATGTAGTGCAATGGTTTTGCCGAAATAAACCAATTTTATCACTCTTTTCCGCATGCATTTACCTTTGATAATTTGGCTATAATTGTCATCAGCTTCTTTCACCATCAGCACTGATAATAAAGAAATCTGAAATAAAGTCATTGTCAGTTGAGGTAAATCACGTAAAATAGTTCTACTGCTTGATACTATTTCAAAGAGTGCATTTATTAAAAAAAACGAAACATTTATTAGTAGGCAACGGGTACGCCTTTTTGAACTTATGGTGATTAGTCAGGTTAGGACTACGAATGCATCCAATCTCATTCGTTGTGTTGCGTCGCTCTGACCCCTCTTTAACACCTATCTCCGTCCCCCCTTCCACCAGTTCGTCCACCTGGTGTCGGTATACGGTGCCAACCTTCTCAGCGTCTCGACCGTACACAGCATCAACGTGTTCCTCTACAGCCACCTGACGCACCTGTCTCGACACGTGTCCAAACTGCTGACACGGAAACGGGCCGCTTCCGGTGCCGTCTGGAACGCTGCCAACTCCGACCAGGGCGCCAACGTGCGGCCCTGGAACGAACTGCTCGAGGCACACTCGCTACTCTGGGAGTGAGTGACAGTTTTGATTTTGGAATTGCTTCATAAGATTCATGAGAGTAGGAAAAGAACAAGAATTTAAAGATCTAATGTTAAAGGGACTATCCCACCTTTAACATGGGGTTTGAGTTGAGATAGCCAAGTTTGCGGCGAGGTTCAGAAACCACTATCTATCTAGGTTGCAACCCCCGCGGCCTCTTGGTGTTGAAGAAATTCGTTCCCTTCATTTGAAAATGGGCCTTGTGCAAGGCCCTATCTTCAACATGGAGCGACCGTTAGTGTGACGTCACCTCGTTTAGTCATTCTGATTTAAATGGGTTTGTTCGTTGAAAAATCGCTTAAAACTTGGTCTGAACTTTGTTGTGGTGCCTACAGAGTAAAAAGAATCAGCTTTATGACAATAATGTGGCCTGGGGAAGGAGGTAATTTTGGGCTGTGACGTCACATATTTGAAAGTTTGTGTTTGGAATATGGAAAGCCTAAGATGTTTAATGAAAAATAAATGCCAGAACCGTGTTCCTGGTCATCCAATCTAAAAAGTCGGGCACAATTTAACTAGTTTTAACAACATTTTAGAATGATTTCAGGTATTTGAACGTTGAGCTGAGCATTGTTAATAAGATTATTAGAAGGATGAATAACCTGTTGCTCATTTCTATCAGAAATAGAAAAAATACGATAGGGGCCACGCCCGAATATATATTGGTTTATTTTTTCTATTTCTGATAGAAATGAGCAACAGGTTATTCATCCTTCTAATAACATTTTAGAAGGTGGGATAGTCCCTTTAAAGGGACCCTCCCACCTTAACATTAGATTTGAGTTGAGATAGCCAAAATGGGGTCCCTGGCTCACAATTACCGGTTTCGGCACTCACAACATCGAGAAATGCCTTAAATCGGAAATATTGAATTTCAAAATTGCAGCATTTTGATTCAGACGGGCTAATGCTTAGGAATACCCCTCTGAATGTGTGACGTCAGCGCAGATATCTAACGATTTTTAAATGTTCGACTAAAACGTTTTGTAGCACGCGGTCGTATATGCTATTTGCGCGCAACATCTGCCGCAAACGCCGCACTTCTAAAATAAAGTCGCTAGAAATAGCGGAGATCCCATGAAAGTAAACAAAAGTAAAAGTCTAATATCTTGAAAACCGGTGAATATTTTTCGATGAAATTTGTTAGATATTCGTTTTCGCTCTTTCTGAACCGAGCGACATCACTTTCATGCCAATTCATAAACTTTTTTGAAGGTGGGAGGGTCCCTTTAAAGGGACACTCCCACCTTAACATTAGTTTTGAGTTGAGATAGCCAAATTGGTGGCCATGGCCTGCAAATACCGGTTTGGGCACTCACAACATCGAAAAATGCTTTAATTCGAAGATATGGAATTTCAAACTTGCAGTTTTCGGATTCTAAGGGGCTAATGCATTGGAATGCCCCCTTAGAATTTGTGACGTCAGCGGAGATCTAACGATTTTTAGATCTTAGACTAAAACCATCGTTAACTCGTGGTGGTATACGCTGCTTTGCGCGCAACGTCTGCCGCACTTTAAGGCTGCCAAATTATTGCTTCCAAATAAAGTCGCTGGTAACAGGGGAGATCCCAAAAAGTAAACAAAAGTAAAAGCCTAATATCTTGAAAACCAGTGAATATTTTTCGGTGAAATTTGGTAGATATTCGTTTTCGCTCTTTCTGAACCAAGGGACATCACTTTCATGCCAATTCATTAACTTTTTTGAAGGTGGGAGGGTCCCTTTAACTTCAGCCCTGTTGTTTTTTTTCAACTTGCCTAGCTCCCGTTGATTGATTGGCGGCTGGTGCTATACTTGTGAGCTTACCGGTTGATTTATTTAGTTTTTTTTTAAAGAATATTTGCCAATTGATTTGTGCAAATGCTTTTCATTTTTATGACCAGGTTTTTCTCCGGTCGGCTGAAAACATTTGTACCGAAACATCTATTATATCAGGTGTGAAAAGACGCATAGTTAAGCCTGCGCGTCGCAACGTATTCACTGATTCGGTGTTATACTGTCAGTGTCACAATCTTATAATGCTCTTTGTTTTCGATAAAAAATGGCATGACGTTACCCACCTCTTATGGCAGCCTGCAACATGAACTTCAAATCAGTTTCAACGAGTGCGGCGTTCTTACTCATCTGGCCGGTCTGCTGGATATGTGCCTCACTTCCTATATCTGTATCCGGGTAAGATATAGGATACAGGGTTGATAGGGTAATATGGGGAAGGATTCTGACTTTCCATATCTAGGTACACCCAGGTGAGATTTGATACATGGTTGATGGGTAAGACAGAGTAAGAGGGTATGACAGGGTAAGATACAAGTGTCTCACTTCCTATATCTGCATCAGGATAAGATACAATGCACATGGTTGATAGGGTAAGAAGACAGAGTAAGATACAGGGTTGAAATTCTACAGGTCGGCTGTTTGAAAGTCGAAACAGCTTCATTCCGTCTCAAATTGAGAATTAAAATCGTTTTACAGGCACTAAAATATGAAATTCTATAACGTTATGCCGCTTCTAATATTAAGTGTATTGCCTTCTTTACATTTCAGGTGACCTCCCAATATGGCATGGACTGGATGACCACTCTTGTCTGCTTTGGATTCATGCTGCCGTCTGGAATCTGCATCCTCTTCGAGTCCAAATCCGTGGATATCGTACGAAATGCTGTAAGTAAATGTCTGCCTTTATTATGACAATGTTTTGCGTCAGATGATGACTGGATTCATGGTGATCATTCTTGTGTGCTTTGAAGCTTAATAAGTACTGCATAAAATACGGACCACTAAAATAAAAACCATTCCAAACCACCCTGGACTTTGCCTTTATCGTCTTTTTACAAATTCGCTACTAAATAGTCCGCGCCTGTGGTAACTGTTCCGCACGGCTCAGTTTTCTTTTGTCGATAGATGTCGCTAGTGGTCACTGCCTGGAGTTATGCTGTGCCGCATTGCACTATATCCAGCTTTCCACTAAGTCCCGTAGATGTCGCTAGTAGTCAGCGCCTGCAGTTATACTGTGCCGCAATGCATAACATTCCGTCTTTGAGTATTTATACATAGTGGGGAAATGGTCACAACAGTCAGCGTATAAGGCTATTCCACGCACCTCCGAGCTTCTAACCCTTGTATAACTAGCCTTCGTACATCTATCTCTAGTTCTACACTACTAATCAGTTCAATTAAAGTTGGCTAACGGCCTCCCCACCCCGCCCCGTCAGAACGCGGCCATTTTCCGGTCCAACTACGGCTCCTCGTGGAGCGACCTGCACCCCCGCGAGCTGGAGTTGGCCAACATCCTGATGCAGCGCTCCCGCGAGCCCATGCAGCTCACTGCCATCGACCTCTTCGACATCTCCATGAGAAACTTCGGCGCGGTGAGAGGATGAATTGGATATGAATGATGCTTAGTTTGATTGCTGTAGGAATTATAACATTTAACTCTCCTAGAATGAATATTTTATATGATCAAGGAGAGCTTGTATTTTAAGAGGAATATTATCTAGGCTGCCGTAAAAGCCATGAAATGTCTAGTTTGTCTATAATGTCGGGATTAATGCCTTGCACATTATCAGCAATGGTGAAAGGTGCGAACAATTACGTAGCATTCACATGATCTCTTCTTCGTTCCAGGTGGTGAGCCTCACGGTAACTTACGTCATCATTCTCATTCAGTTCAACAGCTGATTACTCTGCCAGCGCTTCAGAAATCTCCGGGAAGCTAACATCTCCACTTCTCGACGTACTATTTATTTGTGCTTGCATTAAATTAACTTGCAGTGTTGTTTTATAGCATCGCTTAATCAGTTATTTTCTTCTCTTCTTTAGGAATACTACTTTTCCCTAATCGAATTTGCCTGCACTTTAGCCTGCTTTTTATTTTCCATAAGTTTTAGGTACTTGTCCATAAGTTTAGGTTTTAGGTACTTGTTTTGCTTTTTAAATATATGTCAGATTTGTTTCGTTTTTTGAGTTCATTGGGTCAGTCAAATATCATCTCGTTTGCTGGCCCACGGCCAAAAGTAGGCTTTATGATGACCTATGACGAAAATAATTGTTTCAAAGAACGCCATTCTGCCGATCAAAGATATAGATATTATGGCATTTGACACCTTATGAAACGCGTTCCCCATTGACGACAAGTCGGGAATATTTTGATCTTAGTTAAAAAAAGCAACTAGTAATAAGTAGTATATTCATGCTATTTTTATAGAAAAACATAAGACTAATTAAATTGAACATAGTCAAGGCAAATTCATTGGGAACAAGTATATGAGGAAACACTGCATAAAACAGCTAACTCTACCGATTAGTACTAGTAGAAACCAGATACCGGGTGGCCCAGAAAAAACGTTCCGAACTTTGGAGGCCTGTATATGAAATACGAGTAGAAATAGCGAGCCAAAATTTTCATCAAGTTTGCGTCATTTCGTTGCGCATTGGTATGCCAAGTTATAACACTATACCATCATTTTCAAGCTGGCAATCTTGAGTTGAATTAAGCAAGACCTTTTTGCTTTTTTTGCCGATGTCAAACGATAGTGATGATTGGGTTAGAAGTCCCATGTTATAAAAAAGAATAAAAAATAGAGCACGTGAATGAAACCAACACCTATGTTCTTATTTTAAATATTTTTGTCTCACTTATGTGCCAAATATTCAAATACTGAGCCAAAATGGTGCTCATGGATGTCATTCGTTTCATCACCAAATCATGTTTCGAGCAGGAGTGGCACGATGCATGGATTACTGCTGATTACCCTCCTTTCAGTAGATCAAACAGTAAATCGACCGGATAAGGAAAGCAAACTAAAGCAGACTGGTTCCTGTGCCAGAAGACCACAGAATAGCTTAGGAAAAACAACATTGCCAGCAGATGCCAAAACAATATGGTTGAAAAGCTACCCTTTCCCAGGAATGTCAGCCAGGAAAGCATTTGAGCCACAAGATGGTTAGAAAACTGGAAACTTCTTCCGATGCCGCTGGCACAGAGCCATCGTGGTTGCCTGAGGGAATATGTCATCCTGAGACCCGAAACATCAATGAGACTAGCTGCCAGTAGAAGTCATGGCTCTAGGCCGCGATGCCGCGGGGTGAAAGTGACCCGTTCACTCACATTTTTTAGTAAACATCGGAGCAAAAAAGTAATTTTTACATGGCATGCTTGAAACACGAACCGTTTAAAAAGTTATTTACCGAACACCATGAAAATCACACCATTTACTGAAAATGTGTGCCGCATTGACTATTCGAAGTTTCAATGTTGTATCTTTATCACTTTCTGAGAAATATTGATTTAAAGTTGGGAACGTTTTTTCTGGGCCACCCGGTATATTCATTTATGAATAGTGTAATAGCCGCTGAATGATCACGCTTCGCGATCATTCGTCAGGCATTGATATTGCTATCATCAAGCTCTCCGGTAGGGGCATCTTCTGAGGCTGGAGGTGCCGCTATCATTGCAGCTTGGGTTGAGATAGAGGCAGCGTCCTAATAGTCAAGTGCTTAGTGCAGGCATTCCGATGTCAAGGGTATTTTAGGATATGTAACGATGGAAGGGTCGTGTCAGTTTTATGCGAATAGTGAGATATCTATTTTTTTCTCTAACGTCTTTCAAATTTGTGAACATTGCATGACAAGCCTTTGTGGTTTTCATAGGCAAGGGTTTATAGGCATAGGCATTAGGCATAGACAAAGGACAGGAGTTGGTAGCTGGGGCTAAGTGCAGGTGACCTGACCAGAAAAGACTTGGAGTAAAAATAACATAAAGGGTGCCGGGATAACCCGTCTCATAAAAAGTACGTACCTTTTAGCGTAATTAGCAATTTTCTTGGTCCGAAATCAACGGCAAACGACGTTTGCCGTTACGTAGTGTGTGTCGATAAATGTTCTTTTTAAGGAGGAGGGAGGATTGACATCCAATCATTGTGATTCAACCTGTTTCACATGTGTTGTTAGTGAACTCGTTAGTTTATAGAATATCCACGTAGTCAGCTTGCTCCCTAGCCATGCTCAACGCTAACACATCACTGATAAAGTGTTTCTGGATGCACTCACATGTCAAAGTACCTGTAGTTAAATAGTATGCCAAGCAGTGGTTGTTTAAAGTAGACGCTTTATATGAAATCGGGCCGCATCTTACCACTATTCTGTTGTTGGGCAGTTACTTAGGCAGGTAGTGAAATTCAGCATAGAATTTACTTGATTGCTAAATTCATTATCAAGCAAGCAGTGTTTTTTTTTTCAGTGGCCCCAACTTTCGTGTGTATTATATATAGGATGTTTGATGTCAAATGTATGCGTTCAGTGTTCAAATGGTGTTTTGTTCCTTGTTGCACACAAAGTAACGGGAATGATGCAAAGCTTCAAGCTTGGTCGTGAAACTAAGTGTCGGGAAGACATCGGAATGCTGTAAGTTTAACGTAAAAGGTCGCCACGAGTAGATTCATGTCACGATGTTGCGTGTGTATTAGGATGACAAATAAATATATTTCACAATTCTCAGCCTCAATTCAACATCCTCCAAATAAACGATCGCTTCTATCACGATGATCTACGCATGACTTGTTTAATGATGAATATTAACAGGGGCGCGTTTTTCTGATGTGAAGACAGCTGCCGTTCCATTAATCACTAGTCCGGCAGCAATTTTCCAAGCTGGAGTCTCCCCCGCAGCAGGAGCGGCTCAGCTTACTGACGCTGACGCAGATTCTCAGCAGGAGGTGCACAATCAGCAGGGCCAGCACGGCAATCAGCAGGCCGAACAGGCCGGCCAGCTCCTCCTCCGCCCATACCACCTGCAGGGGGGCAGCTGTCACTGTCAGATGACAGCCAGAACTGACACACGGATCTCACATGACAGCTCAGGCGGCAGTTTTAGGACACCATCCGTCAGATCAGACGACTGCCAAATGACAGCACTGGTGACTGTCAGATGACAGATGAGACGACTGGCAGATGACAGAACAAAGTGTTGTCGAGTGTCGTGCGACACTTGCATTTATTTTTAGTCCAAGATAAAAACGTTAGCCGGTTGAACTCTCTTGTTCAGCATCTAGTTATAGATGCAGCTATGAGCTACCAATACCGAAAAGCCAGTTCAGCGCCCGTTACGCACCTGCTCTCCGTATCCGTTCTCCTGGACGACCAGACGACCGAAGCCGGGGGAGCGATGGTTACACATGGCGAGATGTTCTCTGGCGGTCAGAACACAAACTAGCAGTTAGGCCAGCTGCCACCAGGTAAAAGGTGCGGTACCTGACCTTAAAGTTTTTCAATGAGATCACCAAAATGACGGATGTGCGCTTGAGTACTAGATTAGTCTTATGTTGCACTACTTAGTCCTCATAACACAAATACAGTCCGTTAGATGACATGCACGACATTTTGGACAGCTTTAGTTCGTAACGGGAAACGCAGACGCATCAAACATGTCCAAGGAGGCCATCAACACGTTTTTTTTTTGCTTACTAAAACGGTAAAATAGTTAGGTACTTACCTGTTTTGGTTCTGGGCGCCAGTGTGCGTAGTCAACCCAACTCAGGTCATATGGGTACAATCGGCTGAGAAACGTTAATCTTCTGTGGGCGGTTGGCACTAGAGCCTTTCACCAATCCGTCACCACTGTCACAATGTGTCACCAGGTGTCACCAAAGTGTCACCGTGTGTCACCGTGCTCTAAAAGAGTGTCACAGTCCCGTCACCTGCTCTTACTGTCAGTGGTGTGTCGCAAAAGCGCCCTATCGTGCACGACTGAAACCGTCACCGCTGATAGCTCAGAGCGCTGATATCAGTGAGCTGATATCAGAACACTGATATTACTGTGTACACTGATACCTGTGCATATTGCGCTATGGGCAGGAGACGGGTTTGCGTTTTGGGTACATTTAACCGCATGTGCAGCTGCATGTCTTCCTTGAATAAATGCATGTGTGATTGCCGTAAAACCATTATTTGTTAATGAAATTAGTAATATTATTAGCGCTATGCGTTCTCTTCACCGGGGGCTTTAGGGCGCGTCGACTGCAAAGGTCATTTTGCGCGTTCTCTTCACCATAACTATTTCTTCGAAACAGTGTGCTATAGGGTTTCTCGTAGATGAATTGGAAGGACTCGTCGAAAGCCTTGCTTTCAACAACAATGGCACATACTCGCAAGGAAACCGGTAACTCATCAAAAACTATGGTCAATGGAGGCATAAGCTCGTGGCTATGCGCTGAAAATGCACTGAATAAAACGGTCACTCAGCGCCTATTTGTTTCACACCGATCCCCATATAACTAGTCAAACACAATAGCGAAGAAATATTATATTTCCGTTTTTCAAGGGCATATTTAGACACCATGCACTAAACGTTGCAAATATCCTGCATTTGCATTACGCTATATACCATAGTTATACCTATCCACTGTAGGTATACTTATCAACGTTCTATGACACAACCGAGCAAGCGGGTAGCTGCTTGTCATGACATCACACATGCCTTATAATATGACACCACAGCAGTTAGGTTTCACACTACCCAAAAGGTGTTTTTATACATGCCGGTACATCTGGAGGTCGAGCAAATTCCCACAGCTGACCTGAAATAGCCCAACAGTACCTACCCCATCCCCTTGGTCCCGCTAGTGGACCAGCGATAGGTTCTGTCGGTTCGGTTCAGACCACCCTCAGCGCAGCCAGGAGCCCGACCACGACCAGAGCTGCAGAAGACATGACCGCCTCACCGGAGGAGGCCGCCGCCATCGCTTCCATCCTCATGACGTAGTGGACCTGGTTTTCGACGGCTTCACAGCAGTGCAGCAGCGCGGCCAGCAGTGCCACCAGCAGAACAGCACGTGCAGACAGCATGGTGATGAAGAGGTGGGATGGCGACGATGATCGGAACTCAGTCGATGCTGAAATACATTTATCAACAGCGAGCGTTACAAAGCATCAAACAAGGCCAAGTAGGTAAAGTATGATCCGTCGAGCCAGATTTAGGTTTTAGTTACTGTATGCCAACGATGAATTTATTTTCTGGACCGAAGCTCTTAGCCGACTTAGGAACGAGACCATCCCAAAATGTTGGTTAAGTGCATTCTGGTAATGCATTTTTGACCGTGGTCAATTTGCTTACACCAGTTATTACCACACCCCTCTGGCTAATGTATTTGAATAGGCCAGGCATACAGTAATAATCAGGAACCGGGTTACTTTGAGCACTAAGTCCAAAAGCGCCGTGAAAGTGTGCGTATAAATCATACGAGCTCCTTTGAACAATTCTACTGTTTAGTTTACGCGAGTTTGGACAGGTTTGAACTGGATGGGTACAGCTCTTACAGCGGCTCGAACCGCATTGAATAATGTTTATTTAATTATTTTGATTTATGCTGCGAAAACCATACAGTTATGATCAAGGTTGTGGAGTCGATGGATTTTTGGTGACTCCGACTCTGACTCCAGCTTCCAAAACTCAGTCCGACTCCGACTCCGGACAGAGCAGCCGACTGCGACCGAATCCGACTCCGACACCAACTTAGACTCCACAGTCCTGATTTTGATGCGTATCATTATTTATGAAATATTCTATTTAAAAATGACCTGCTAATCAATGGAGGGCTCATCACTAACGGCAGCATAAATGCCTATGAAAATAATGATAGACATGGCAAGCCCAAAACAACGCAAAGACGACACATGACAATTATTTACGGAATTGGTAAAAGGTTTTATAGGCGATTTCAGCTTACCTCGTTTCCTATTGATCCTCTGTAACCTGTCTTCTTCCACAAGTCGAAGTCCCAGACTGCGTGAATCTCGTGACTATGATTGAGAGTCAGCTGTGTTTATAATGCTGGCCCCTCCTCTCAAAGTTCAGAGGCGGCGCTGGGGCATGGCAGTGAGTACCTACTGGATAGATCCAGTATCATACCCTATTGGGTATGCCAACTGCACTTTTCTCTCTTTTCAACACTTACATTCAACATATTACTTATCTCGGGCCTTCTCTCTGTCTTTGTCGGCTAGGCATATTGGTTCGGTTACTGTCCACCGCGATAAAAAAGTTAATCTTATTATTTGACTCGAGTTCCCTGTGGGGGAGGGGAGAAGGCGAGGGGGGGGGGGGGGGCTGGAACATCCCCACGCCGATTCCCGAAAATAACTAAAATTAATTTATCATATCTTATCGGTGCCAACTGCCAAATAATTCCAACACTTTGACGCACCGTATCACACATTTCTTTCTACACGTGTTTAAGAAACTTCAACCATGGATGTTCAGTGGCAACTGGCAGGTCACCAAGTCATGCCGAGAGACCTGACCTCAACCGTTCCATGCTTCTATCCTCAGGATACGGAAATCCTTCTCCTCCACGCCGCAACCCCCTCCGGGCTGGACAGGCAACTTTATCTCATGCGGGCTGTTCCCTTGGAGCGGCACCGCTGCTCCCGAGGGAGCGCACCCCGTAGCCGGGTGCAGTGAGTGCCTTGGGGCTGGGTGGCCTGTCCTCTGGACGGGCTCAGCCCCGGCGACTCACTAGGGTGCCTGCCCAGACCAATGTCTCCCCCTACATCCTATCATCCTCCCGGCTCTGAAATGGTCTCATTGGACCGAAAGGGCCTAACCCAACAAAAAAAAAAAAAAACCTGACCTCAATAAGTTGTGTTCGCTATTGAACCCACATTTGATTATATGGGCTGATAATTATGACGATAGGTAAAGAGGACGAATGCGGCAGTCGGCTCAAAACTTCCCACCAAAGACCTTCGTTTTCCCAAACAGGCGTGAGTAACGTGCAAGCGCACTTACTCGTCTAGTGACTCAGTAACAGATCTCTCAGACAATTCCGCGGTCCATCAGCTGGGAATGTGTCATGGCGGCGCCGAAATGAAGTAAACAGAATGAGTGGCCGGCCGCTGTCGGCAGTGCCGTCTAAGCGACGCTCACCAGAACCTCCGGTGAGTCACTGGGAACTGACTCAGACGGTAATGGTCCGCTGCTAGCGACATCTATAGCGATTAAAAGTCTGGCTAGTTCCACAGCTCCCGACAGATGACACTACCTACAGCTCAACTTCACAATTGACCCCGTAGAAAATTGGTTTACATAAATGTTAACGACAAAATATAAGTCAGGTGTATAGCCTGTGTATTCAAAAGTATACCTGCGTCGAAATCGCTGCATATTGTAGCGTAATATCACAGATCGCTTTGCTGCCCCTGTCCAGGGGGGCTGGGGCACGCCGTCGGACACGCCCTGGATAGTCAGGCTAGCAACCATCCTGTGGTCCAAACAGTGAAACTACGCTTTGATAATTAATATTCTTATATTTCTGGGTAGCACTCTTATTCGATAGCTCCGAGAACTGTTGCTGAACCTAAAGAATATAACAGATAATTTTTATCGGCGTTGATCTGGCGTCCAGACGGCGCCACAGTCAAGTTGCGCAGCTGATCGTTGTCTGTGACGTCACGGCGCCGGAGGGTGCCTTCCATTTCAAAGTGGCGCCGGCGTGAGAGCCGCTCCGACCGCCGCGTGCAGTGGACGTCCGCCGAGTCCCGCTCCCGACACCAACACCAACGCCACCATGACCAACGAGGCTGCCGAGACCAAGACCGAGACCCCGGCGGCGCCGACCGCCGGTCAGGACGTGCCGGTCAAAGAAGAGGTCAAAGCTGAGGTCAACAAAGAGGAGAAGTCCGACCAGGACACGGAGAAGGAGAAGAAGACCGAAGAGAAGAAGGAAAAGAAGCCGGCGGCGCCTCCCAAGCCGACCGTTCACAAGGCTGATTTCGAGAAGGATGTCGTCTACCTGTTCCAGTTTTCGCGGACGCCTGTCCTGCCCTCGATCTCTCCGTTCTGCCTCAAAGTGGAGACGTTTCTCCGGGTCGCCGGCATCAAATATGAGGTGAGTGGCCGACGCCAACGGCGGGCCGTCTAATTACGCTGATTTCCTCGAATAATTTAATTATTGGGCATTAATTTCATATCGCTGGCGCTTTAAATTGCTTTGGTTCAGAAATATGCTCAGCAATAAGCCTGCCGTTTATGAGAGTCATGCATAATTGATACCGAACATGGTTTGTACAATCTTTTATAACGGATATGCTAGGTATATATGTCCAATTTTGCCCAGTTTTTTTTTGTGAGCACCGATGGTTTGTGTGTCATGGCAACGTGAAACTAGCGGCTGAATTCCCGAGTACCGGTACCTGCACGTTTTACCCTGCTTCCCCGATGTTTGGTCAAGGTTTTAGGCCGCAGTTATCTCCGTTAAAACTTTATTCCGCCGGGAACAAGCCTGTTCGGTTGGGCGGGATTACATGGACTGGATTTAATCACCCGTCTAGCGTTGTTGACGCGGTCGTAAAAGTCGAAAAATGGGCGACTTTAACGCGCGCTTGAACATGACATATTTTTGACAAAATAGCGGTCTTGGCTGCGACTGGTTTCGGGATCATCCCTCCCGTTTGAAAAGCCTCTTTCTCTTCCTGGTTTCTTTCCTCTCCCCTCCTCCTGTTTCTCTTTTGTTCACATTTTCTTTGCTATCTCTTTCCTTCCCTCTCTCTTCTGTTGACTGCGAAAGTTTCCATGTCCGTTCCGAGTGTTTGAATTTCTGCCCTGGCCCGCTGACGCCATTACCCCTTCTCGTCCGCACCCGTCCCTTCCCCTCGCGCGGGGAGGGGGAGAGGGGAGCGGCTGGGGGCGCCGCGTCGCCTGCCTATGGGGAGGGGAGGGGAGGTAGGTAGGGGAGGGGAGGGCGCTGCCCGGTTGGGATGGTTCGCCCGACTGTCGCGCGGCCCAGAGGAGCATTTGTCACTGCGTCCCTGTCATTTTACCGTACACCGCGGAGTCTTCTGTCTCTGGGATTATAACAGGGACTCTGGCGGAATTTATGACCGTATTGAGCTGGTCCCTGAACTTCTGGCACGAGTGGGTTCATGTGGTAATTATTGGGACCCCGCTGTGGGGAAGGGGTGGAGCAGGGACAGCACGAGAGGACTTCATACTCAGCTATGGTAAAGGCTAATAATGGTGGAAGGAAGCACACTTCTGGTTTCTGCTAGTTAAATGAGATGATTAGGCACTCGGCTATCAAAAATGTCACACTGGTTTTACTGTCATCGTTTTATGGTAAAACTTGCAATAAAATCGACTTTTTGACCAAAATTGTATTGGAGCCGCTTATTATGATGCCTGCCGGTTATTTTGTACATATTTAATTACTGTTTGTTTCAGTTATTTCGTAAAATTAAGGCATTAAAGTAATTTAATCGAAATCCTTGTATAAATCTAAAAGCGTTGCAACCAGTCCCAATTTGAATATATCGCTAACATTGGTCGGCTGCATTTTGCCTCAAACGGGATCACGTTTGGTGTTTCTGGCCGTTTACTGATTCAATTATTCAGCTCACGGCGGTGTTTTACATTCTAAACGTGAATAATTGATTAAAAGGACACCCAGCTACAACGGATCTCTTCGCTGATCCCGAGCACTAATTAGGCTCAAGCAATATTACGTTACGAATTACAATATTGATTTTGTTCAGATATGCGGAACCGAAATATAACCCTAATCTGAGAGCGCCAGGAAGCGACCGGTTATAGCGTGTTTTGATATTAAACCTGATTCCCATTTAGTATTCCAGTAACGTAGCGGGCTCTTTAAATTCCCCGTCCTCTGCCTAATCATATAAACAGACTCGTGACCAAATTAAACGTCGTACACTACACTAATATTGACTCGGCCAAACCAATCATGTACTCAAATATACCACCCGAGTAATTCAGACAGTTTGCCGCTGCGGTGACTGAGTAGTTAACTCCGCCGTTCTCTGGGGCGGGCAGGGCCATACCAGCTCGGCCCTGTAGCCCGGGGCCACGCGTATACCGCTATGTAGTTCGAATGGTATGTAGTTTGAGCCGCTCCAGTTGTGACTCGATTATCGGCGACCTCGGCGCCGCCAGACTGGGTTAATGGCACCAGTGTTACCGGTGCGTGCCGTATTAATGAGGTACTTTTCGCTCGGCGACTTTCCTTTCCCGAGAGCTGGGGTGGTTTGCCGACTGGCGAACTTTCCATCGGTGGACGTATTTGGGTGCGGTTCGGCGGAAAGGCATGACGTATTTAGGGCATGAATTAATGACGTGTTCTTTATGTTTAATATTTTAATTTAATACAGTTGCAAGGTGCGTATTGCTGTAATTCAGAAATATTTTTGATAAATGGTGGATACGCAATTTTTCTTTGTTTATTTTTTGTCTATATTTTAGATGTATTATGTTGCCTACCTTTCGGCGCGCGATTCCAAGATATTGGCGTATATCCTTTGGGTAGCACGATACGGTTCGTGCAACATTCTCTGTGCATTCACTAAACACAGATATACAATCGCCCATTCTTCATTGTCTGCCTGCATGCTGCAGTCACAGCACCGAACTCCTCCCCACTGCACCGCCATGGGCGTCACAATCGCCTCCATACGCCCAAGGCGCGCCGTGTTTGTCGACTGTTTGAGTCGCCCCCCCCCCCCCTCCTGACTGTTGGTTCACCCTAAACCGACCCGGCGCCAGGCGAGTCTATTGATCCAGGGACCGTCGAAATTGACACGGCGGTCCTCGAACGGCCGGCGACCGCGCAGTGGACTGTTAAACGAGTGAACGCGGAATAACTGGGGTAGATAGGAGGGGCTGGATTGGCAGGTGCGGGTCCGGCTCTAGTGGGTCCAGAATCTGGGACAGGGGCGCGGGACTTCTTGTGGGGTGGCATGGTTTGCTGTATTGAGGGTATCCGGTATAGCCTCGGCCAGTTCGCCCTAGCTCTGAGTTTGTTTTGTAGAGGCATTTGTTCGCCTGGGCTCTTAGCCTTCATCAGTCAGCCCGAGTAAGCTCACACAGACTCCTCCGTTATAATTCCGAGCCATCTGTTGGAAGTAAACCACTGGCCTGGTCGGGTAGTCTGGTAGCCAGCAGGTGGTGTCGAATTGAGTACCGCTTCATCAGTCCAACTCACACTTGGTGCACAGTGGCAACAAGTGCACTGGTTGTGGAACAGCCTACCGTCTCTGTGGTCTCTCGTCGTGTAGCTGGTTCATGAAGCTAGTTCTGGAACTAGTTATCGCGCTGGTTCTCCAGCGGTTTCTGTTGCTGGCTTGTGGTACTTGTCCTCGTTTCTTGCTGGTTTTCTAGCTAGTCTCCTAGCTGGTTTTCTAGCTGGTTTTCTAACTGATCGTCTAGCTCGTTCTGCAGCTGGTTCTGTAGCCGGTGACCCCGCTCCCCTCCTGGCCCGCTGACCTCCGGCGTCGCCCGGCCGGCGGCGGCCTCCGGTGCCGGGAAGCGGCTCCATTATACCAATTACCGGTGCCACGGACAGACGGACGGTCGGACGGTCGCTGGTGGTCTGCTGGTCTGCCGGTCCCTGGGGTGTGGTGGTCTGTCTGGTCAGTTTCTCTATCTGTGTCGTGTCCGGCTGTCTCTGTCCCTTAGCTCTTCTGTCCCTTAGCTCTTCTGTCACTTAGCTCTTCTGTCACTTAGCTCTTCTGTCTCTTAGCTCTTCTGTCTCTTAGCTCTTCTGTCCCTCTGTCCTCTATGCCACTTAGCTCTTCTTGTCCCTCTGTCCTCTCCCCTTTAGCTACCAGATGACTAAACAGTTTGTTCCGATATCCAAGGAATCTTATAAATTTTTAACGGTTATCTGAAGACCAGGAAGGATGGGACAGGAATCTAACCAGGAAGCACATTCCACGGCTTTGCCAGACTTCTAAGAAATCTTTGTTTGAGTTTGAGTATCTAATTTGAAGAGATTCCAGAAGCTGTGTTATAAGAAGGCATATCGCTTACGAGTGTCCAATGAATATTGGACTTATGTAATGCAATCGATATTATCTTTTTACCGACCGTTTTAATACTTATTTGATGGCTATAGATTAATAAAGCTTATTTTGTAATTGATATCCAGGCAATATCTGTGATTTAATTTCTTCCGATAGGATCGGCGGAAAATATCCAAACGGTTTCACTAATTAGTCTATTTGGATGTTCGCTTTGATGCTTGTACAGTTACGTAAACCATTTTGTCTGTTTTGATATTTCAAAACACGTAAAACTGCAGTGTAGTCCTCCATCCATCCAAAATAGGCCACAACCCGCCCATGTCTACCCTCTCAACTCCTCCACGCTACACTGATCTGCCGTCCTCCCCGGAAACTGCCAGTCATGTACGGTGCTCAGCGGCCCTCTCAGGCTGCTCTGAGGTGCTCAGTCTCCCTGGGGTACTACCCCTCCCGCTGGGTATATACCCCTCCCGCTGGGTATATACCCGGTGTGAGACCATTGAGAGCCCCCGGCCGGCGCCCCGGCCGGAGTTCCATGAACTGTGGGCAGTCAGTCGGCCCCCGGGCCCGGCTGAGTGGCCGTTTCTGTCCAGTGAGCTCGTCGGGACGGGTCTGAGACGCTCACATTTTGCCCTCGGGGTCGCTCATGGGCGAGGTTTATAGACTGGAGGTGCCCCCAGTGAGTGCCTTCGGGGAAGGGGAGCTTGGGTGGAGCGCTGGAACTGGGCGGAGAGCTGGAGCTGGACAGTGGACACTAGAGCTGAGTCTGCTGTCTGCAGTGGGTAGACATTCCATTGTGTTCTCAGACATCATCGGTGTGAACTTAGCTGGCTAAAAGCCAATGGTATGTCTGGTATGCGGCACTGCATATATTTGTCGCATCGCTCCACGTAATAGCAATGTTTCTGTCTAACCAGTGATAAAACTGCTCTGTCGGTATTTACACGTCACGTGCAATGACCTGTGGTCGCGACACGTGCCGCACGGGGCGGATCTCGTGGCACGTGTGTCAGAGCGTGGGCCCCTTTTTGCGCACCTTGTTCGTGCCACTCAAATCGGCCTGTACCTGCGTGCC